TTAAGATCTATTTAAACCTTTTGATTGATTATTTGTAAATCATGACTAGTAATTGCTAAATATTGTATCGAACTTCACATAAAATATATGTTTCAACATTTTATTTGAATATTTATTATAGAAATAAGAATTATTTTGCAATTGTTGTAATTTTTTAATTGTAATCATAATGCTTTTGGTAGTAAAAGAAAAATATTGAAGATAATAAGAGTCAAAATTATATGTCTGTATATTGGCCCGCAACCCGTTGGGCCAATCCACTTAAACCCGCAACCCGTTGGACCAACCCACTTAAACCCGTGAACTAAATGGATTAGAAATTCACGATCCTAACACACCAATAAATAGGTTTAAACGGATCAGCCCGTGGATTTCGGCCCGTTTTGACGGCTCTACTTAAGAGTCTCCTCCTCAAAGACTCGCACGATAAGGGGTGGCTTTGTGCTCTGATTTGTAGGGCACCTTTTTATGAATAAAAACTCTCAATTACTCGTTCTTCTCTACTTCTCATTTGTTTTTATAATTACATTATTGTGGATATAATAACATTCGTGCCATCCGTCCCTCATAATAAAAAGATAGTACTTACTCCGTTTCATAAAAGTTGCAACATTGAAATTTCTGCACTATTCACACACCTTACTTTGATTACGATTTTCTAATAATATATATAATAAAAATATTATGTATAAAATATTAATAAATTTGTATTAGTGTTAATTTCCTATATATTAACTTTTTTAAATGTTTACTAATACGTAAATAAATATAATTACAATCAAAGTTGCACGTTGGTACACGTGAAAGTCAAACTGTTGCAACTTTTATGGAACGGATGATAGTATATGTTAATCTCACTGTCTTTCTGACTGAACCCTGGCCAAAAGATAAAATGGTGTACATATATCTTAGACCAACATATAGGGAGTGTTTGGATCTGATTCTTAAACTATTCCTGCTCTTTCAGAGAGCAGAAGCAGAAATTTGATTGTTTGGATGAAAGTACAAAAGTACTTCTGATGCTCTAAATTACTTCTAGAAGCAATTTTTTTTATGTTGGGGGGGACCAGTTCCTGAAAACTGATTCTGATTTTGCTTCTGCTTTAAAAAAGAAGCAGAAGCACTATCAGTTCCAAGCACTCCCATAAACATACATATTGCTTTAGATTGACAATCATTCCATGTTAATTTGAGTGAAACCAACCATGAGCTAGTTCAGCAAAGCAAGATCTAAGACATGATAGTTGTCAAGAACTTGAAATACTTGTAGGGGATCACTTAGACACAAGAAGATAATCAATTGAGAGTGAAAATCTTTCAAATGGGCTAGATGATGATGACGACACACATCAAGGGATAATACAATAAATCACTTTCTAGAAGTTGAAGCTCAAACAAATGCCAATATAAAGAAATACATGTGAAGTCCTCTACAAGGAAGAATATATATATGAAAAATATGAATCACATTCAACCAATTACTTCATTAATATCACGTACTCAAATATGAGGTATCAAGTATAATCACTAACATCACATATCAAGTATATTAATATCACATTAAACCAATTACTCCATTAGTATTACTCATATATGAGGTATCAACAAGCTCAAATTAAAGGAAATGTCAATGTAAAGAAACATGGGCGAAGTCCTCCAAAGGAAGATCATATGAAAGATATGAATCACATTCAACTTATGACTTCATTAATATCACGCAAATGTGAGGTATCAAGTATAATCACTTTAATCTTTTCATATATGTCAAGAGGACCTCAAAATTTTATGGTTGGGCACCCAAAAATTAATTCGTATAATTCAAAAAGAATTTCCTATTAGTACAATATTTTTCATATTTTATTTTCATGAAATGGAAAGAGATTTTAATACAATTAGTTTTCCTTTTATGAGTAAATAAAATCCACTTTAATCGGGCTGAATAAAAAGTAGGCGGCCAGATATTAGTGACGACTTTGTTTCAATCAAATATGAAGTTCTTTACCAGTTCCATGACATGGTCTAAATGCCCAGAGAATAATGTATCACTAATTGTTTCTCATCAACAAAACAATAACTTTTATTCTAACCGAAAAAAATTTATTTGGATGGTTGAAGTATAAAATATTCCAAATAGATATTAATTTAGATTGATCTGGTTTGTATTATTTGGTTCTCAATATTCATAATTGGTCTCAAATTTAAACTGTACGTTTTGATTCCTAATAAAATATATAGAAACTCTTAAAATGTCGGTATTCAGTTCAATACCATTATGACCTTATGGGTCAATTCGCTACCGGTACGAGAGGTTCTTATGCCCACCCTAATGAAAATGAGGGGTTGGAGGGATTCATGGATAGTAGTATAAGAAACTAAGGGTTGTAGATTGGAAGTTGTTACCAAGGTCTTTTTCATTTACTTTGTTGTTTTTGTAAAAAAAATGATGACACTCCATCCTTAAGGCCCCCAACACCGACCAGACAGTTAGATAGGAGGATGTAAATTTGACATTAATCACAAGTTGACAGATAGAGAGTGAGACTCTGGCTCCGATACTTGCAGAAACCCTATGCATTTTAGCATATTAACCTCTCATCGCATTTGCCTGGATTCAAACCCGAGACTTATCCCTTGTGGCATCTATATCTGCCAGTTGAGCTACGTTCACCGGTAGGTGATCCTGGCTTTATTGGATAATAATTGGCTTCCAAGAGTGCACTCCATACTTCTTGAGAGAAGTAAATCTGAGTCGTTTGAACACCTTGTTAGGTTAGATCCATCTATACATTGAGCTTCTATGCTCCCGTTTGATTGTTTAATTGCGTGATCACTCAAACCAGCCCGTAATTTCTATGTTTGATAACTTCTATGCTGCCGTTTGATTGTTTAAGAATCATCATTTGGAAAAATCATATTCACCTTTTTAGTGACTTTGAACTCAAACCTCCATATGAGGATGATTTTAAGCACGGGATGAGGTCTTGCTCATTGTTGTATTTGACTATTTGCGTAAGTAGGAATAGGAAGGACTTTTGAGATGGAAGAGGGATGCTACCAAGCCAACCATGTAGAAGGAAATGTTTTGGACAAATGTACTATTCATTAGATTATTATTATGTCCTTAAATAGTGTCACAAGAGTGTAGTCCGTGTGTGTAAAATAAAGTGCAGTCCTTGAGTTTATAAAAAAAAAAATATAAAAGGATTTTAAGATCTGGAGGAGATTACTACAAATATTGCAAAGATCAGTACTTTAGTTAAGAATATAATATCAATCTTAGAGGTCGTTTGGCAACCCTCATTTTCGGCTTATCAACCAACTTTTGTACCAAACACGTAAATTTTGCTTTTGCGCGCTGAATCGTGTAATAAGCTGAAAAAGTAAGGTTGGAGTTACTTTTCTGGCTGTATTGGCTGAAGTTACTGTAGATGATCATTTTAGCTATTTTTACATATAATTTTTTCTTTATTTTATTAATATAATATATTTTAAAAATATTTTTTTCTTGTATCAATCAGCCAATGCAGCCACTTCAGCCAGAACTTCATAAATTTCAGCAGAATCAGTCAAAACAGCCGATTTTCGTGCTACCAAATGGACTCTTAATGTGATTATCTCCATCATGTTATCCTCCTTTTTTTCATTTTCTTGTCATGTGGGAAGAGGTACCATACCACTGATACCAGTAGCACATTCAATTCAATCAACATCTATACATATATAGGGAGTATATAGTTTAATAAGGAAACTGAAATACAGAGTAATACAATGTGCAGAATGGCAGTGGTTATCTGCAAAGTTGTCCATCGCTCGTGTCCTCCCTGAATGAATGAAGGCAGCACCAACTCACGTGGGCCCAAATCCTACCTGAACTCTGATTTACCTTACCTGCCCTTGCTTTTTATTACCTTTTCAAAACCTTTGCTGACCGCTAACGTTATGCTTCAATTATTCACCGCTCAAGATTACCCACACCAGTTTTAATAATCTAGGTAACACTCGGTCAACTTTTTTATCACTTTCTTCGTCTCTAAATTAAGTTTCTACTTTCATTTTTGAGGAGTCCCGCAATAAAGTCTCATTTTTTTATTTGACAAACAAATTTATATCAAAACAGTGCAAAAAAAAACAGTGTCAAAACAGTGTTCTCTACGGTAAGCATTTACCTCTAGTAACCATAATTATGGGACTTTTCACTTCATGTACTGATTTGTGTAATAATAAAAAAAGTAAGGTTGGAATTAATTTCTAGTTGTATTAGTTGAAGTCACTGTAGAGATGATCATTTTAATTGTCTTTGAAAAGCCATGCTCATTGTACTGAGATATTGTAGGTTTAAAATTGATTTTATAAGTTACTGTATTTTTTATCGTCAATCTAAGCTCTAAGACTAGAAATCAAGCCGTGCTAAAAGCTTAAAGCTATTTGCAGGTTTCTTGCTATAGTACTGTAGTAGTAATGTAGTATTGTAAAACGTCGGAGTATATATTGTTTAATCCTAAAAGTAATGTTTCATTCTCTTTTTAAAGAAACAATATTGTGCTTTAGATATTTTTTTACCCCCCGCATAAATCTTTTAAACAACAGTCATTGTTTTCAGTAGAATTGTGAAGTAAAATGAAGTCTTTTATCAACTATAGATGGAGGAAGTGACATCTTTGGGAGTTGGGAGTGAACTAATTCCATGGTATGAATGAATGGAATTTTATGTACACTTGATCCAAAAGGTTGAATGCCCAACCCCAAGGCCCCTCATCCCGACCCGACAAGATGGTAGGGAGGTTAATCACGGTACCTTATACACGTGTGCACAAGAGGTCCGGACTTATTTCAGATTCTGTAACCTCCACATGACCGCTGCGGGTTTCGAAACTTGGTCACTTGGTCCAATTTTCCCACCACTCGACCAAGTGAGTTACCCGTGCGGGTAGAATTTTATGTACACCAAATTACAAAGTTATGACCAAATTATTTATACGTAGTAATGAAATACAGATTTACTTCAAAATACTCCGTAGAAGATTACTATAAAGAGGGCAGAGGAGGTTCCCTTTATACTTCACAGTATACCAAGTACGTATTTTACAACTTACAATCCTTATAGCACATAGTACATGAACTATATATTCTCTGATCTATATCTATCCATCTAGTACAATTAGATTCTCCTCATTTTTAACATTAGTTGTCAATACATTCAGGCCAAGGTGAAAATCCTACCTTCTTGGCATGGCCTCAAATAATGTGTGATTGTATAAATAATCTTCTAGCATCAAATAACTATTATAATACAAAATTATCAATAATGTGTTGTATAACATCAGCTCCATCAGAATTTATACAATACAGTTGTACCTGGAATGTTAAGCAGCAAAGCAAGTGTTAAATTACCAGCTTATAATTTTGTAATTTGCATGCTACTAATTACTAATTAGTACATAAATCAAATAAAAATGTACTGTTAACTAAGTAGAGCAATGATGATGAGCAAGACCTGAATGGTGTTGTGTGCAAAGAATCTTTGTTTACTTCCCCGAAAGCTAACATCCACACGATCCCAGCTCATTTTTGTTAAGCCCTTGAGCATGGTCTCTGCATTTCAAATGACAGAAACCATACGGTAAATTTACGCACAACTTTGATCAATCTAGTGTGTGTTTTTCAATTAGTGCAACTTAGGGGTGGAGGCGGTCTTCCGCATTTGAGACCCCCATGGTTACTCTTGTCACATAAACTAGTAACGTGTACGGTTCGATTCTTCCATCTTATGATCGTACCGACCGGTTCCTGCCCGGGCTTCAGTCCACGCCCATGGGCAGAGTTACAGAAAGGCCATAACAGGCCCGACCCACCCCATATTTGGTCATTTTAACTATTTGAATATTTATTACTCTAGCAAAATTTGGCGAAAAGGTAGTTGAAATGAGCTCCAGCCCGTCCTAATCCAATCCAACTATTCCCTCTTATATACTACGTATACTACTCCTATTAAGACCAGATTGATCAAATTAAGACTACCAAAATTAAGACTTCATTCTACCATATTAAGACTTATGGAGTATTATATTACTCATTTTTACCTATGATACCATATTAAAATCCGAGGTTTCATTTAAAGAATTAACCGCAACCCGTTGGTGTTATTGTCATATCTTCAGTCTACCCGAGGTTTCATTGTTATATCTTTATGGCTGTACTTTATCAGTGATATGGCTTAAGACCGACTATAGTACTTGAGAAACCGGCAACCCGTTGGTCCGTAACTAGACCATTGTATCCACCAGTCACCAATAATCTACTTTGAAATTTTAAGAGGTCCAACAACAAAGCTTGAATTAGCGGCCGTAGAAACGGTTTATATGCTCCTAAGTGGTTGTTAAACATTTAAAAGAAGCTAAGCTTAGAGAGTTTCACACCTTCCAAATAAGTATACTTGTTTGCTTTACTTGTCCCCACAGATCCGTTTCTTTGAGAGGTACTAGTCATATTTGCTGGTTCTAGATTTACAATGTGTGGATACTTTTCAACTCTTTTGAGATTCTTACCCTGTCAGCGAGAGGGGCATTAAGTTTCTTGGACTTTTAGAATAAGCTAGTACACAACTTACATTTCACTGATACAACCAAACAGTACTTAGCATGATTTATACATATACCTTTGGAGGAAGTTCACTTCTTGACCGTATTGATGATGTACTCCATCCAACTACATCTGTATGGACTGTTAAGTCTTTTTGCAATTATGTATAGTATATTGAATGGAGGTATTAAAGTATTTATCTCACACCTAGCATAAAATATCAAAATAAAGTATACCGATTCTAATTATTCTTTCCTTCATGTTAAACTTTTAAGATTGAACAAGTATGAATACGGTACCAGAGCAAGATATATAAAACGATTGTTTGTTTCACACTCATGATTTTGCATAGCTCATTCAAGATCAATTGGTTAAATTATGTACGTATAAAGTTGTTCGACTCGATTTGGGACGGACAAAGTATCAAACATTACACAGATACTATGTATATAAAATTATGTGATCTACTCCAATTTAATAGTAATAAAATGGCTGAACTTAGACATACGACAATATAGTCGTATTAAACTAATGAAAAACATCAAGACAATATAAAAGGAAAGGGTTAAGGTCTTATTTATGAGCTACTGTTGCTTAACATTGAAATGATCAATAATGTTTAGGAGATAATTTACTCAATACTTATCAACAGATTTAATAAAAATAATAATAATGTTGTTTCTTGATAATACCCATGAACCTTGAGTCTCAAAACATTCCGTTACTAGGTGATCTAGTATGAGTCGATCATGATCATAAAGAAATCGAATAGCATTATACAAAAACGTTATTTTTGTATGTAAGAAGAGGTGAAAAGTAAGAAAATGACTGACTATAAAGTAGGAGTAAGTAGTACACAGATTATAAAACCAAAGGATACGGTCAAAATGGATATTTGCATAAGCCACACGACGCTTGAATGCTTCCAAAGCCGATCTGATAGGGAATACCATATGGCCCATATGTAAGAAATAAATTATAACCATGAATTGATAAAATTCCTAGAAGAGTAGAAGATATGCAATTAATTCCATCACAAATTAAAGTTACAAAACGGAATTTTATAAAAGCAGGACCTGAAAGATAGATAAACTATCAATTCGGGACATGAAAGATGAAATGTGTCAGTATATGATCCAAATGATTAAAATTTATCAATCTAGGACTTAAAATTTCATACGTTTTGATTTACTTAATTTTTTTATTCATTCAATTGCTAATTTTTGATGAATTTTTCTTTCCAAAAGTTTGTTATTTTAATAAAATTAAATACTACATATCCAGTAATATTTTAAATTTTTAAAATAAAAAATACTCCCTCCGTCCCATTTTACTTAGGCAATCTTGACTTTTCAAGTCAATGGAGTCTAAGTTTGACCGATTATATGTTTCATCATTTTCATTTACCCCAGTGCCGCAAAGGCTTCCCACCTACGGTGGGGTAAGGGGGGGGGGGTCGGATGTACGCAGACGATTATATGTTTATATAGAAAAAATATTAATAATATGAAAATGATATGAAAATATTCTTTGTTAAAAATACTATCATTAAAGTATAAAATTATTAAATTTTGCATAAATATATTAGTTTAAATAATTGGTCAAAGTTTACCATCTTTGAATGGAAAAGTCAAAGATGGCTAAGTAAATTGGGACAGAGGGAGTAATAAAATTCATGACAACTTGGGTTCTAGATTGATAGCTTTCAATCATTCGAGCCCTATACTGGCCCATTTCATCTTTCATGTCAGCATGGATAGTTCATCTATCTTTCCGATCCTAAATTGATAAAATTCTCTTTACTGAAATGAAACTTATTTACAAAAATATGACTAACAGCTACAATAGTATAGTCTAATAGCCACTTATGTATAAAAATTGAACATAAGTTACTATGACTGAGTTACTAATAGTCTATTATAGTCATTACACTTTGGAGGTCACATTTTTTGTAAATAACATCTATTTTAATTGTATATGTAATTATTTCTTAAAATTTACTAATTACAAGACATTATCGGTCAATGAGTAAGATTACATGATTAGTTAATAATGATATAACAAGTATAAGTTACGTGACAAAATCAACTAGTTCCTCAATTTTACATTGCATTAGTTATCCTCACTCCACTATTTTTGTCTCATTTTGTCTTATTTTTCTTTTTGTTTTATGGTGTAAATAAACTAACTTTGATGTATGTAGTATATAGTTTTAGATTATTTAATTCGAGGTTTTAGAATTTGTAATTCAATTTTAATTAGAACTTCTTAAATAATTCATCCATGTGCTTTATATGGAACTTTGGGAAATATCGATTTGTTAAATTGATTTAGCGAAATTAAATAATTCAATTACATTATAATAGATTTTCTTAATTGGAACATCTAAATATTTATTCTAAATGTATATACACCAATTAATTTATTTTTATTTTTAGGTAGAAAAAACAAAGCAAAATGAATACTAATAGCTTTCATTGACGGGATATGAAAAACCTTTGGTGGGGTATCCAAAAATGATTAAAAAATGTTAAATTTGTGCTTATTTAGTCCATTTGAAACTTTAGTATCCAAAATAAGATTCACATGTAATCATAGTGTCCAATTTGGTCCATTTGAAACCTTAGTGTCAAATATGATATTCACGTATAACCATAGTGTCCAATTTGATCCTTATCACTTTTTAAAATCACCTTTCTTGTGTTCGCATTTCCTGTTTCACGCTTCTGTGCTACCTAGGTTGGTAGTATCGAAGTGTTTTCTAAAGTATGCATTGTTATTGGTTTATGTATTACTCCATCTGTGCCTTATAATTTTACCATCTTTCCTTTTTTAGTTATACCAAATCTTTAACACTTTTTCTTTAAGCTACTAATTTGTGATTCCTATTATTTCTATTTATTTTATGTAACCTTAACTACACAGTTTTTTATTTATTATTCAACGTACCGTACACATGAGTAGTTACTGTTATTTTCCATATTTTTAATTACAAGAACCTTCATTGGGGGAATTGGGAGCTTGTTGGATCCAAATCTTTGAGGTCACTTAAGGGCTTAAGGTGCACATTTCGAAAAGGAATTATTGATTCCCTGACTTACATGAAAGGAAGATCTTCAGAGTCACTAGCCATCTGAACCAGAAGAGGAGGTTTTCCCTTATCATTGGCTTTTAAAAAAAGATGTCTTCCTGTTCTTCCAAGCATCCATGAAGCACGCGATGCAAATTTCTCCATAGGGTAAAGCCCACAGAAGGCAGGGACCTGGATGGCAAAAATGTAAAGAAAATAGCAAAACAGAACACAATAATAACTTCATAGAGGTTAACAAAAAATATAGACTGCAAATGACCTGTTTGTGTCCCCTTGAGCCAAGATGAGGTGTTGCAATGGTTATGAAATTCATAGGTTCTAGTCCAGCAATGTTACCTTTCGGTAAATCTTGAGAGCAAGAATCACTATTAGATCCATTTATTATTGCACTATCTCCATTGGGCTTTTCTGCACAACCTTGACTGTATAGCTTGGCAATGGCATATCTTGATATCAGACCACCAAGTGAGTGACCAATAAAAGAAATTCTTTTAAGGTCCGGGTAACGTTGTTTTACCGATATAACCTAGGGTACATAAATTAGGAAACAAATTGATCACTTTCTGTTATACTATCCCACATTGGCTCAATATGAAATAATAAACAAATACTTCGTATAAGTTTTTGACTACTCTACTTATTATGTTAAACTTTTAAAATCAAAACACGAAGTATTGATATGGCATCTGAGTTTGGTTGGACTGCTGTCCAGTTTAGTTATTCAGCAACAATGATTTGAGTAGCCTACTAACCCATTTAGACATGTTTGGCCCATTTAGGATGGAAGTCCAAGTATTTATGAGAATATCAATTCATTGTAAAACAAATTATTTCTGTCACGAAAATCAAGTCAATAATACTCTCTCATACCCACAATCAAGTTTCCGCTATCCTCATTCTATTGTCAAAAATAAAGATCTCATCTTAACAAAAGAACAAACTTTAATAGGCAATTGTCACTAAAAGTATTAACTTTTACTCCTCATATTTTGGCTCTCTTTTCAACAAAGTAAGGTTTACTTGAAAGTTAAAACATTTTTTTCTTACATAAATATGTGCAAGTCAAACCTTGAACTTGATTGTGTGAAGGAGCAGGTGTACAATAAATCTAAAGAAAAATCATTCCATAGATTGCATTTGGAGAAAAGTGAGCACTTTACTCACCTCATCAGCCAACCTCGTCCCAGTTACATCAATTCCATCAAATGTCAATGTTACAGAATTTGATTTACTGCCTGGAATAATAGCATATTAAGTGGATGTTTTTAAATTAGCACGAGGATCACATAGACTCTAACTAATTTAGAATATTAAAACATACATATAGCGAAACTTGAAACTAGGAGTGACCTTTAAACTAAAGGACAGTTCACCAAAATGCACATATGTTCCCCCTTGTTTTCTAATTATATGGGCTTTTAACAGAAAGTGACTTACCCTCTGTTTGGATGAAAGCTTATGAAGGGGGAAACTTCATAAGATTAACATAATACGTAGTATGTAACAATATAGTATATCAAGATAAAGGCTAAACCCTCCATCCAAACAACACCTAAGTTACACAAATTCAATGATCTCTTTTTTGTTCTTTCTTTGTTATAAAATAAGATATTGTTTTGTTCAGTGATCTGTTCTTTCCTCAACTATTTTAATCAGCTTCAATGAGAACCACAGCTTAAAATCAGTAAATAATAAATATAAACATCCATAAATGCACTAATACGATCTTGCGTGAGAATAATCCAACAAAACTCATTCAGTTCATTTTCCTGTGTTTGGATCCTAGATAATGCAAGGGAAAGAAATGAAAATTATAAGGAAAGTAATAATTTTCATATTGTTTGGTTTAGCTCGGGAAGCATAAGAAAACGGAGTATAATTTATCAAATGAATTTGAGCTAATTGTAATAATAAAATTAATGACCTTCAACTAAATTTTCACTTTCCTCAATATTTTGGCCACAATAAAATATACCAACTTCATAACTCTAATCTTTCCCTAGCATTTTCCGTGTTCCAAACGGAGCCCTAACAATAAGCGCAGACATGTAGTAAGAATCATCTAGCTTACAGTGAACAATGACATCTCTTGGATAGGTCTTCACAAATTGCTTTGCTGGAAATTTCCAATTAGCAGCACTGCAGGAGAACAAGACACACATTTATACAAATTAAAATATCAAAAAACGCTCAAAGTTCAAAACTTTTTACATATAATATACTCCGTATAAGCAAAAAGCAAAACATTTTAATCTCCAACCAAAGAATCTTATTAAGTGCGGAGTAATTATTTTACTTTAAAAAGTGTGTACGGATGTACCTGCCTATAATGCCATTGACCATAACAACTAGGTGAGTCGGTCGGTGATCTATTCCGGCGGCCTCCACATCGAAGCCTCCACCGCCGTTCGGTCGCTCTTCCGTCGGCACCTCGTCTTCCAATCTCATACACGGGAAGAGAAAAGACAAGTTCTTGAACCTTCTTTTCTTCTTGATACCCAAACTGCTCTTCCTCTTATCTTCATCCATACCCATCTCAGATTTTGCCTCTTTGTTGTTAAAGTCTGATTCACTCTCCATTTCCAGCGAACCCATTTTAGAAAAAAGAAAACTGGTTACAGAACATACAGCTCCTCTGGCTCAAAACCCAGAGAGATTTTCCATTTGTATGGCTGGCTAGTCTGCTCTAACCAATGAACTTTCTACTGCTTTGAAGTTTCAAAGAAGAATGAAATAGTCGAGATTCAGAATTGCTTAAAGATGGTGCTTCTTTCTTTGGCCATGTGCAATAAAAGCTCTGAAAATATGTTCGCCACGTCATATGTGAACTTATAGTGGCAGTGCTTCCTAGCTTCATAAACAGTTGAACGGTGACAACTGAATAAATGAAACGCCGTTAATATCGGACGGAGTCAACTTTTTTATTTTGCTTTCTAGAACAACAGAAAAAACTCATAAGACTTGTGACAATCACAGCTTACCTTGGTTGGTCTAAGAATGATTTTGTTGAGACAAGAAAACGACTTATTTGAGCTAATTAATTTGTGACAAATTGTACGTACGACCGAAGTACAATTTGGGGCGGATGAGAAAACGTAGAGTTTGTTGGTTCACGGAAATTAGATAAATTGATTGAATCTATTCCAATTGCTCGTTGAATTTACCGAATTTATTAAAATATGAAAAAGTTATATCACAAACACATTTTATTAATAAAATAAAGAGAATATTATACGGAGTATGACAATAATTAAAATAGTCTTCTATATGAACTTGAATCAGAAATGTAACTTCAACCTTAGTTATTTAGATTATTTCATAAATTACGTATTCGCAGGGGCGGATCTACCTTATTGATAGTGGTGGCATATGCCCCCAATAAGCTTTGAATAATGTATTAATTATATAGTATTTTCTGCAAATTTAATTTTAAAAGGAAGAGTTTGCCCCCATTAAATTTTTCTCATGCCCCCAATAGATATTTGTGTGATGTTACGTTGTATCATATGAATGACTAAAAATGTGTTAATTATCTTAAATAAATCTAATTGTACAAAGTTAAAATGACCAAATTTTTGAGGAATTGTGATGGCAAAATAAGGTACGGAGTATTAAATTAAATTAAATAAAACTGTATTTAATTTAGCTAATGAATTGATCGAAGTAATAATGTACTACTTGGCTCATGATGTTTTCATTTTCATTTCTAATTAAGTGCATTTATGAAATACAAATGATTATTATGGATCTAGCCTTCTTATATTATACTCTGTATTGACCGTATATATGAAACATTTACATATATATGACTAAAATAAATTTTATTTATAAAACGTGACATCATAAGTGTGGTGATTATAGTAATATTTTAGTCATATTAACTTATGTTCAATTTTTACACTTAAGTGACTATGAGATTATATTATGATAAGTATTGTTCATATTTTGTAAATAAATATTATTTCAGTAATATTTTTGAAAACCCTCTTAGTTCTAGAATTAGAGCTCCATGCAATTATTCAAGATTAGTAGAAATTCGCCAATATTATTTTGGAGGTTTTTCAAAAATATTACTAAAATAAAAGTTATTTACACAAATATGACTAATAGTTACTACAATGTAATGTCATGATAATTTAAGTTGCAAAATTAAACATAAGTCACTATGATTCCATTACTATTCTAGTAATTATTCACACTTTTGTAAACAATTTTTATTTTAATCAAATTTTTGTAATTATTTTTATTTTTTTTACACGAAAAGTAAGCTAAAAATTACATAAATTATGGTGGATCCGAATTTGGGACGACTTACTCATATGTCCGTATTTAATACTCCGTATATAGTATTTAATACTCCGTATATATTTATTTTAATTGATATTATTATGCCCTCGATAAGTATTTTTTCTGTATCTGCCACTGCGTATTCGATAAAAAAGTAAAATGGATTAAAGGCTTTTAATAAGGAATAAGGACACAAATATTATTTATAGCTTTGTCAAATACAAAAAAGTGACTACATTTAAAAAAAACATTTCTAACATTTTGTTTAATTCATTCATTTTTTCATCGTAATTTATATCAAATCTCTATCCAAGTCCCCACACTTGCCAAGCCACGGCCTGATCCGTCACCGTAAAGGTCAACAGAAAGCACCGCTAGAAAAGTCGCCGGAATTTTTTGATGATTTTTTTCTTCATTTTCCCCCAATAATTACCGGGAAAAGTCGTCGGAATTTTTTCCTCGCGACCACAGTGACATGTTTCACGGCAATAGTGGCATCCCGTAAATGATATGAAAATCTGACAATGACATTTGAAATATCTTGAAAATAATTTTATAAAATAATGACTGAATATATAACAAGAGTGATATAATGCCATTTTTCAGTAGAATTTCAGTCACTTAACTAATCTAAAAACTTTTTTTAAATATTGATAATATGAATTCATTTCAAAATAACCTTAATTTGATTTTTGATATCAGTTGTAGACATATTAAATAACTCGATTTATAGCCAAAACGTGATTTCATATTATTTTTGTTATATATTCAAATAGTTAATATAATTAAAAATTATTTTCAGTGTATGTATTGTTATTTTCTTACGTGTAATAGTTAAAATTATTTAAATGTACCAAACCCCTCGTGAAATATAAATCCGGCGCATTAGCCCCTTGTGATTTAAAAAATGCGTCAAACTCCCCTATGTTTTAATTAATCATGCGCAGAATCCCCTTCAAGAACAAATTTTACAATTTTAAAATCACTCTTTTTAATAATATGATTGAATATGCAAGTAACTTTGTCAAAATTTCTAAATTATACAAAAAAACTAATCATTTTTCATATTTTTTGAAATTAAATTTATTCTTGGAGGGGGTTTGGCGCATGATTAATGATAACACATGGGGTTTGACGCATTTTTTAAATCACAAGAAGCTAATGCGCCGAATTTATATTTCACGAGGGGGTTTGGTGCATTAAACCCAATAGTTAATGCTCCCTCCGTATCTATTTAGTTGTCTCATTTTCCTTTTTGAGACGTATCAAATTAATTGTCTCATTTCCCTTTTCGGAAAGAAACTCATTCAAAAAGTAGCTACAGTACCGCTATAGTGTCAAAACCTCTTACTTTTCATATAATCTACAGTAATTATCTTAAACTACATCAAAAGCAAACGAATCAATTAAATAGATATGGAGGGAGTATTATTTCAAATTATTTTCCAAAAAATTAATTACATTTTAATTTTTCTGTCCGAATTGAAATATCTATGTATAGAAATCTAGCTTAACTTTTTCACACTGAAATGTGTTATTTTTAAAATAAAAATAATTATGTATAACAAAAAACTAAGAGTTTATCGTATGTAAAGGCTATAGGGAAAATTGATTGATAGAATTAATATGTTATTTTTGTATGGGAGATTTGCAATTTTAGTCCTGTAACTTTATGTTGTTATCGTTTTTGGTCCTGTAATATTAAGCACTAGTAAATTGGGTCCTGCAACTAATAAATCTTTGTAATTTAAGGACTTTCCCACCGAAAAGTACACTTTCCGGCGGAAAAGTTCGATGCCGGCGACATCTTTTCCGGTATGCTATTGCCGTAAAGTGTACTTTTTAGGGGGGAAAGTCCTTAAATCGCAAATATTAATTAATTAGTTCGATGCCGGCGACATCTTTTCAAGAAAATTTGATTGCATTCCGTACAATACCGCATGTTTATCATACATCCAAATTCTATTTTGTCTATACATATCATTATGCCTGAATATTATAATAAAAAAATTATACAGGTTAAAAACTCTAAATTATAAACATTACCAACATATTATATGTGGAGTATTATTAATATATTAAAATCAACTAATTCCCTAAAATTCCCTTAAAATTAACGAATTCCCTTAAAATTAACTAATTTCCTTAAATTTCACTAAATTTCACTAAAATTCCCTTAAAATTAACTAATTCCCTAAAATTCCCTTAAAATTAACTAATTCCCGTAAAATTAACTAGTTTACTTAAATTTCACTAAAATTTCCTTAAAATTAACTAATTCCCTAAAATTCCCTTAAAATTAACTAATTCCCTTAAAATTAACTAGTTTCCTTAAATTTCACTAAAATTCACTAAAATTCCCTTAAAATTAACTAATTCCCTAAAATTCCCTTAAAATTAACTAATTCCCTTAAAATTAACTAATTCCCTTCAAATTAACTAGTTTCCTTAAATTTCACTAAAATTCACTAATTCCCTTAAAATTAACTAATTCCCTTAAATTTCACTAAATTTCACTAAAATTTCCTTAAAATTAACTAATTCCCTAAAATTCCCTTAAAATTAACTAATTTCCTTAAATTTCACTAAAATTCCCTTAAAATTAACTAATTCCCTAAAATTCCCTTAAAATTAACTAATTCCCTTAAAATTAACTAATTCCCTTAAAATTAACTAGTTTCCTTAAATTTCACTAAAATTCACTAAAATTCCCTTAAAATTAACTAATTCCCTAAAATTAACTAATTCCCTTAAATTTCACTAAATTTCACTAAAATTTCCTTAAAATTAACTAATTCCCTAAAATTCCCTTAAAATTAACTAATTCCCTTAAAATTAACTAATTTCCTTAAATTTCACTAAATTTCACTAAAATTCCCTTAAAAATAACTAATTCCCTAAAATTCCCCTTAAAATTAACTAATTCCCTTAAAATTAACTAGTTTCCTTAAATTTCACTAAAATTCACTTAAAATTAACTAATTCCCTAAAATTCCCTTAAAATTAACTAGTTTCCTTAAATTTCACTAAAATTCACTAAAATTCACTTAAAATTAACTAATTCCCTAAAGTTCCCTTAAAATTAACTAATTCCCTTAAAATTAACTAATTGCCTAAAATTTCACTAAAATTCACTAAAATTCACTAAAATTCCATTAAAATTAACTAACGTCCAATAATTAATATTATTAAACTATAAACATGCACACTACGTTAATGACATTAATTTAATCCACAATACTAAAATTATCAACATCTTAATCTTATTAATAATGCACATTTAACAATTTACGTACTAAATTAAATAATATGAGCAAATCCAATAATTTGAGCATATATATATAATAAACACATTTAAATTAAATTAACTAACCCTAATTTAAATCATTATTAATCCTAAATTAGGCCGCCTTAATTAACAATAATTGCCAATATAAAGAAATCATATACTTATATTTAATCATATATATATATATATATAAAGTCATTTGAATTAAATAATACTTACATTTATTAACTAATATTAATAATATGCATTTAAATTATATTTAATCATATATACTTACATACGTATTTAACTAATTTACGTAATTTTAATCCTATATTTTAAAATTAATAACATATGTATTGCCAATATTATATTTAATAATATACTTACATATGTATTTATTAACAAATTTACATATTTAACTAATTTACAAAAAATACGTAATTCAAATTACATACCTTATCTGCATAAACAGGAAAAATGATATGAGATGGGTAGATTACATCCTTCAATTCTATCTGGAATTCTATCTGGAGTACGTAGAAGGTGTGATTTTGTTGAATGAAGCCGAGGCTGCATATATAAATTTTGTAGTCACGGACTTAGTCACGGATGTGTCCGTGACTACATATTTTTGTACTAATTGTCGGAGCACTTTAAATTTGGAACGTTGAAAAAATCAATTTTGCACTTCTCACGAAATTAGTCACGGACACGTCCGTGACTAACTGTAGTCACGGTACTAGTCACGGACTTGTCCGTGACTAATTTCAAATTTAAAAAAAATCCCGTCGGAGGCGAAAATGGGTTGGCCGGAACACTTTAGTCACGGACTAGGTCCGTCACTACCTATAGTCACGGACGTAGTCACGGACCAAATCCGTGACTACGGTCCGTGACTACAGGCGAATTTTTTTGTAGTGAAAGTCCTTAAATCGCAAATATTAATTAGTTAGGGGACCAAATTTGCAAGTGACTAAAGTTATAGGACTAATACTGATAACGGCCGAAAGTTACGGGATGAATATTGTAAATTTCTCTTTTTGTATTGACAAAATGAATATTTGTTTTATTGATATAATTGTGACTAGCCTTGCAACATATTTGCTTTGTTCTTAACTGATGGTGTTTGATAACGAGTGATAGTTCTCCCGGATATTGTACTAGGAACCTAAAAATTGTCATAAACAATTAGTTAAGAGAGATTTTTTGTGCGTTGGACAAGTTATTTTCTCTTAATCGCTTTTTATTCAATCTGTGATGATCCCATTATGTATTGTTTTTGTACTTTTGCTGGTCTAAGAATGGCTTTTCTCAGTGTTACTTTGCATGAAATTTTAATGAAAACGTCACAATAACTCTCACACAGTTTTCTTCTCATTTGGTCTCTGCGATCGGTTCCAATTCAGTGTTTGATTTTTAGTTGAACGAATACATGTTCTTCCCATTAGCTCGACTTTTCCAAGTTGCATTAGCAGGTTTTTTAAGTACATATCAGATGGTTTGATTTGGTTATCAATAAAAAGCCAAGCGTCCATATATATAAAAATAAAAAATGGAACAATAACTAGCTAGAATGTCTTTTATTTGTAGGAATGGGACCAAGTTCATAGAGGAGTCCGTATACTGTACAGCCGGTTGTACAGTGATCACTGTACAATCGATGGTAAACTTGTAATTTTTGTAAAAATCACGGATTCTCTTAAATGAGCATTTATGCAATTTTGATGAGCATCAAGTCTGTTCTTTTGAGTATTGGGAGTCTAACGGTGAGCATCAGTGATCTCTGCTTCAAACCTTATATATCACTTTTTGTTTATTATTTTTTCGTTTAGTATGATACGTTTGAAATGTGCAATATTTTAAAAGAACATAAAGAGGTACCAAATAAGCATATATAACTTACAAATTGAGTATCAAAATAAAATGCAAAAGCTCATTTGTGCATGCTCATTCATTTGAGACTTTACACTCATTTGAGTTTAATATAATGTAGTATGATACATTTGAAATGTGCAACATTTCAAAATGACCATATATAAGTACAAAGTGAGCACACATAACTCACAAAATGAGTATACAAAAATTCAAAAGCTCAATTGGTATACTCATTCATTTTGGGTTTAAACTCATTTGAGTTTAACATAAAACACATTTTTTAATATGCTCAATATTCATTTGTGTATGTTCATGTTTTTTAAGCTTATACTCATTTGAGTTTAATATAAAACTCATTTTTATAATATTACGACAAAAACGTAATAGATTTTGTATAAAAAAAAATGTGACAGCACATATAGCAGGTCAGTAATTAGCAGAGACGGGAAAATAGGCGGTGAAGAGTACTCGCAAGGGTAGAGTCGTCTCTGCGTCAGCCAAGCATCTCAGCCGTGAGTTGCACTTAGAAGCTTGGCTATCGGCGATCTGCGTTCCTGAGTTGCACCAGACTTTCGATCTGCCGTCCTTCATCGTCTTCGTTGGTGAGTTGCAGGGTTGAATCGCAACAGGTTTAATTACAAAAAAAACTCAGCTGTACGGTGAACACCGTACAGCCGGCCGTACGGTGAGCACCGTACAATTGGCCGTACGGTGTAATTTACGCTCATAGAGCAGACAACCCTTCTTCCCTCATTATGATTATGCCGAGCCAGTCTTTAAATCATACTTCCTCTGTCCCTTAAAACTTTGTCATCTTTCCGTTTTGGGACGTCCCAAAAAACTTTGCCACTTTCTTTTTTAATCAATTATTTTGTGGTTTGTGTTATTTCTCTCTCCTCTGCACAAACCTCAATCATACAGTTTTTACTTTATTGTTCTTCTTGCTGGTCAACTTTGTCAAAGTTTTAAGGGACGGAGGTAGTAGATGCTATCTCATACCCAGGTGGCCAGTTCATTTGTCTCCACCCAAGAAGATGAAGGTGAATATGGTAAACATACTGGGCATCCATCTCTTTCATCATTCATCACCAGCCTGAACCCATTTTCATCGAGACCTTCTTGTTTGCTACTACCCTTGCAGTTTAAAGAAGGCGACCAAGAATATCAGAATGTCTCTCCTCTACCGTAGTCTGTACATAGGGATAAAGATGTCTTTTATCGCAAAGAGCATACCAAGAACGAAAGTGTGATTCTAACCTAATTTTATGGAGAGAAACATAAAAACTAATTTTATGACATCTCAAAAAAGAAACGAAGAAATTGTTTGAAATAAGAGTAATGCATAGATAAAATTCTAAAAAGGAATAATTTCTTCTCCCTAAAATAGGATTTATTTAATCGTATTACAAAAATATAAGAAACAAGTTCTCTAAATAGAAGTGAATGAGTCACATTTGAGAAGAAAATAATACTCTTATTTAAGAAAAAATGTTATATTGTACTCTTATTTAGAAAACTGTCTAACAAAAGCATTAGAAAATTACTTAAATAGAACTATAATATAGAAAATGTAGACAAATAGTTTCACCATTATTTTCTTTCCAAAATAGCATTCGTTCATTCTTAGTTGAGGAAGTTTTATACTTTTAAAAAGATCAAATAATAAGTCATACGAAGTACTTCATAAATAAAACATAACGATTCCATGGCCTATTTGTGCATTTTATCTTGTCGTTTAGTAACTCTTGTTTTCAGCTTATAAGTCTTAACTATTTGTCAACTTCTTACCAAATACGACACTTTGATTTCATGCGCTGAATTGTGCAGTAATCAAAATAATTAAGGTTATAGTTACATTTTTTATTGAATTGACTAAAGTAAATATATTTGACCATTTTAGCTATTTATTGATATAATTTATTACGGAGTATTATTATTATCCATTTCAACCACAAGGTCCATATTTTTATCAATTTCAAAAGGGAAAAGGTACAAATATACCCCTCTAGTATGGGTGTGAGAACAAATATACACATGTTCTATTTTTCGGAACAAAGTGCATGTATACCCCTGAACTTTTTAAAAAAACAAAAATACCCCTCATGTTCTTATAAAGGGACAAATTTACCCTTATTGACTTTAATTAGATAAAATAAATTTCAAACACCATAAATATATTAAAATTTTAAAATTTAATAATAAAGATTTTCTGTTATGTTAGAATATTAACTCTTTAATTTTGAATTGAAAAATTATTATTTTTCGACTGTAAATGAAGCACTTCAAATTCATAAATATAAATGTTAGTCTTATTGTGAAAGTTTGAACACATTGTTGCACTCTTGAAATAACATTATTTTATTTTGTTTAACCTTAATAAAATTAAATTCACTATTTTGTAATTTTGGACTACTTAGCATCATACAAAATATGTAATTTTATAGTGCGAAGAATGCAAAGAAATAATATATTTTTTTACATTGCAACACATATGTTAGCACTTAGCTTTTTCAAAAGAATCTTGAATATGTAGTAAAATTTTAAAATAATATTTTATACTAACAATATTAAATTGTGATATAAAAAACAATAAAAGGGACAATTTGACACAATTACATTTTTTTAATTTTTTTTCAAATTTATAATTTATTTTTGGTGTTTTTCAAAATTTATTTTATTAATTTAAAGCTAATAAGGATAAATTTGCTTCTTTATAAAAAATGAATGATATTTTTGCACTTTTTTAAAAGTTCAGGGGTATATTTGTTCAGAAAAAAAGAATAGGGGCATATTTGTTCAGAAAAAAAAGAATAGGGGCATATTTGTCATCACATCCAAATAGGGGTAAATATATTTCGTACTTATTTGATACTTTTTTAGTACAGAAGCTAAAGTGACGGAATAAAAATAGTAGAAGGGCTTATTTGACCCCTATTCTTTTAAAGTCCGTTAAAAGCACATCGTTTAAGCTCTTAAGGACTGTTTTTTAATTGAATACACCACCTACTTTGACATTGCAAAAAAGTTTTTCAGCTTAGAAGCTGAGACAATGAGTCAAAAATCCCAACTTATTGCCATTGTAAAAACAACCCTCAGACAAGGTGAGACATATTCTGTGGGCAAAACACTTGGTGACCTTATTGAGGTTCCATTGCCAGTTTTGACAATTCCAAACCGGCACTTCGTACAATGATAGAAGTCTCTAAAGTACAGTAACCCTTTGAAACTTATCCTTTTTACTCTGCATCTTTTGTGGCTCTAATTTTCAGCCGATTCTGCCCGACACCAATTACTGTATGATTTTAAGCTTTGGAGAATTGGACCCTAAAATCACATAACAGTGTGGCTGAGGTTCTCATCATTTGAAGAGGCCTATAACTGGCAAGAATGCAAGATAGTATCCCTAGCAGGATCCTCCCTCATTTCACTGCACTCCAATAATAAATAGCTTGAGAAATGGACCTGGAGATGGTAAAGTGCAGCAAATAAAATGGGGCATATATATATATATATATATATATATATATATATATGACTATTATATTAATGTGCCCAAACAACCAAATGTAGAGATAAAGCCACATGGGTCCCATCAACTGATAATCTGGAAATATTAAAGTGTGCCGAAATGGGTTTCCTTTAGAATTATTGATTTATTAAGGCTGTTTTTGGATGGAGTGTTTTGAAAGGATTAGACTGTATCTTGAGGGATATTTGAGATGCAGACAGAGTCCTCTCTAAAGCCCTCCCCCCCTCCAAACCATTCATCCAAACTGAGGCTAAGAAATTTAAGAAAACTGTGAAGTGCACGTTCTCCTCCATCATTTGCAATGGAGCCAAAGATTCATTATTTGTTGGCTTGAGATTATGATGGAATAAAGCAAAATGGCTCACTAAACTGTCTGCGCTTCTTTGTTATGAAGCAGCAGTCAGTCCATGCAATTTTGGACGCGTTTTTCACTATGAGTCATCCGGAAACAGTCTCTCTGTGCAGGGGTAAGACTGCGTACATCCGACCCCCCCTTACCCCACCGTAGGTGGGAGCCTTTGCGGCACTGGGGTAAATGAAAATGAAAATGATGTGAAGTGCACGTTCAAAGAAAGGAAACCTTACCAAGGATTATGTTATATAGCTACGCTCCAATCTGTATTTTCTCACCAGTTTTTTTCCTGTTGTACTTCAGTCTTCCTGAGGATTAGAGTGAAAACCAGAAAAATATATCCTGACAGCATCTATATGCACATATCAGATTTGATTTCTTTGATTTGTAAAAGGGGTCGAGCCGATCTTCACTCAAGAGGCTTAGGACCGATTGATCAGGGTTACTTTATCTGCAATAAACCATACTTAGAGCTCTCATTTCTCCAACATAGCTTATACTTGCATGCACAAATATTAAAGGACAAGCAATGCACACATGATGGTATCCACAAGGGTTATTTGACAGAAACGACAGAAAAAACATTTAATAACACCCATTCAGCAAAATAAGTTAGTCAAACGAAAATTCTGATTATTCAACTTACTATAACCTGTTTGACAAAAAATTGTTATAACCCGAATCAGGTTATTAAACACTAATAGAGGTGCTGATCCACATCAGAAAATTACATAAATTTCAGTTATTGACATTATGTAACAATCAATTCTTAAAAAAGTTAACCAGAAATATATGAAGTTCTAGGTAAGTTAAGCTTTGAGAAAGAAAAAATTGTACCCAATAATGCCCCACGATAGTGATCCACAGATGAGTAAATCTCACTCACGATAGCATTCAAAAACATTCTTCAATGTAAGCCCACCCATCTCTTAAAAGTCAAAGCAGCTTCTCGCTTTTTAAGATGGGCTTCTGTTTGAAACTTGGGAGCCTTTCCTTTGTAGAGTGTTTTATGGTATTTTAAGAAGAGTACACGATACTTGTACTTATCAACAAACATTTTCCGTTCCTCCATCATCTCCACAACCTCATTTGCTCTAGTAAAGAACCCACCTCTCACAAACGTATAAAGCACCCCATCCAATAGCTCCTCATCAAACCTCATGCCACCACAGTTCGCTATGGATTTCATTTGACCCCATAAATCTGCAACCTCTGTGTATTCTCCACCCACAGATGCATAACCAGTTACCAGAGAATGGAATGTTTGTGCGTTTGGCAAGTGGCCCAAACTCCTCATTTTCTTAAAAGCCTTATCAGCATCTTTCATCAGTCTCTTTTTGCAGAAAAAATGGATCACATTGTTCCAGTCATGAACTCCATAATCCACTTTCTGCCCATCTTTTATTTCCTGCAAGAGTCTTGACATTAAATTGGCTTCTTCATTACCATCTATACACTCGAACCTCTTATGCTGCCCAGACCTTGGAATTTTAGCCTCCTTCATCTCCTTGAACAAATGAAGAGCTGATTCGGTGTCTCTATGGAGAACCTGTGATTGAATCATTACATCATAGCAGCTTGTGTCTAATTGAACACCAGCCCTACGAGCATCTCGAAGGAGAGACATTACGTCTCCTGTTCTTTTCTCTTGGCAGTATGCTTTCATTAGCGAAGAATAAACAAAAGAACCCGTTTTAACACCAGCCAATCGCATTTCATCAAGAAGATCATGAGCCAGATCTAGCCACCCAAGTGAAATACACGTGTGGATTGATTGAACCAAGACTGAATCATCAACTGAAACTGGGGAATCTTCTTTCTCAGCTTTGATTAGGAAGGCCACCAGATCCTGTGTCCTGCCGGCTTCTAGGAAGGCCTTAACCAATTTCACATATACTGATTCTGTTGGTTTGAGAATTCCATTCTCACTTGTTATAAATTCGATTTGGTTTTGTAACTTAACAACCAAGTCATCGAGCAGCTCTTCTGCCTCAGCCTGAAGTTTTAAAAACTTCCTGTCCCTACAGAAATCTGGAAAAGATAAGATCTTCTGTTGCAAATTCTCTTGATTTCCCCTATTTAAATCCCCTCCACCATATACATCACGTGCAAGGTTTAATGAACAATTGAACCTCTTAGAGCTCTCAAACAACAAATTAGCCACCCCAAGAGAATTTTGAGCTTTTTTTGCCTTTCGAAGCATTTCCAGGACCATGTGGGAGGCAGATTCGAGATCTCCAGAACTCAAATGGCATGCAAGCAGACAATTGTAAAACTGACGAAATTGAGTATCGGTGAGGTTATGGGCCTCGTCAACATGTCTCTTCAGCTTCTTGAGTTCATCCAACCGTCCATTCTTCTCGTAAATATGAGCCATGATGATCAATAAGGTTGTGTCAGCTTTTATGTTGATACGAGGCATCATGTCAAGAAGCTGCTCCGCTTTTCGGGTTGTGCCATACAGAACACATCCAGCTAAAGATATGTTGAATGAAGTAATATTAGGTTTCATGGCAATCAGATGTGAATTGGTCTTTTTACGCGGGTCGACTCTCCCATCTTGAAACAGATAACCTATTTCAAGAACCAGCTCAGCAGCAAGATAAGCTCCAGAGGCTGATTGTGACATGTGACCTATGATTGCAGACCAGTGACCCACAGGAGGGAACCTTTCTATCTCAACAAGCTTCCTGAGAAGGGTAGATGCCGGAACAGGCAATCGGCATATTGAAAATGCAAATGAGAGATAAAACAAGCTCTCTTTCTCCATTAAATTAATCTTGCCATCCTGAAAGATTTGTTCAACTAAAGTATAAGCTTTTTCAAGCCATTGAACTTCTAGACATTCGGCACATGATGTTACAAGTCTGTTCAGAATTGACATTCTGGGGAGCCCATCCATTCGGATATGTCTTTCTAGAAGTTCCCAGGCATAAAATAGGTTATGCTCATCAATTGTGTGTTCCAACTCCTCACTCATTTTACCCAGGTCCTGAGCCTGGACAAGGACTGTCCCACCCAAAGTCGAAAATGATCGAGATAACAAATGTTGAAAGCTAACCAAATTACATTGTCTGTTTATGTCAATCAATGACATACCAGCTAACTGACTAACAAGCTTTAGTTTCCCATCAGCATCAATGGGAAGAGGTTTATATAGGCTTTTACCGCTGCAATTAGCAAGATTCAAATTTAAAGAACATAAGGTAAAATTTTCCATCAGGTGGCTCAGTTTCCTAGTGGGTACCATTCCTTCTGAAATAGCTGCCTTAGTGCACCAGATATGTTTATATCCGCCAAGAAGTGTAACAACTACACAATACACAGATTTCTTTCACCTACGATTTAGGAAGGGAACAACAATGAAAGGGCAAAAATCAGAAAGCACCCTTTTAAAAAAGTAGAATAGTTGCAGAATGTAAGAACAAATGAAAGACAGAAAGAGAAAATCTTGATTAAACAATAAACAATGACATTATATTTTCTATTCTATTCAATCTATATATAATAAAACTGATTGGAGGAATAGTAACAAAGATAAAAGCACACTGCTGTAAAAAAAGTAAGCACCCATGCAGATTGCAGAAGCATATATCAACTATTTTATAATCTGCTTCAGTATTTAGTCACGACTTGTTTCCAATAAAAATTACAGTAGGAAGCAGGATTTGGGCAGAGAAGAATTATTTACTGCATAACTCTAACTATAGAAATAATGATAGTTATACGGCAATAGGAGGATTTTCAGATTTGGAAATTTGATAGCTAAGAATAATATTTAGTAGTTGTATTTCACATCTGGATAGTTCATAGTTGAAACAAGACGACACACACTTTATTTGAGAACTAGCAAGGTAGGCGCCTTGCACGAGGTGGTGTGCCCAATCTAAAGAAAATGATTCTTTAAAAGAGCAGCGAAAAAACTTAAATTATGTGGTATGTACTCTTCTTTTGCTGATATGTTATCTGATAAAATTTTAAGAACATGTGAAGATGGTTTTTATTAGCCAACCAAAATATGTCATTTGGAGTCTAACTTCATACCTGCTGAATATACAATCTATGAATCTAATGAATAACCTTAAATGTAATAAAAAGGGAAAAGCATGACACCCTCTACAATGTGATAAAGAACTGCACAATACAATCAAACCACTCTACGCAACTCACAAACAAAGCAACCTGGAATAGAATAAGTCAACAAAAATTCTAAACAAAGAAAAGATTAATAGGCAAGGCAACAGAGCTATTTGGATTTACCAACAAAAAATATATTACTCCCTCCATCCCATAGAAAGGTTCCCACTCTCCTTTTTTGGACGTCTCGTATAAAGGTTCTCGTTTCTATTTTAGGAAACAATTAACAATCTTAATTGAAAATTTAATCCTTAAATATTAAAAAGAATACATTTATAACATCACATTTATCAACACTAACCCCACTATATTATATACCTATTAAAATTATTTCTCAAAATATACTCTAATTACCTTATTTAATTATTGTCTAAATAATCGTGCCGTTTTGCCATGGGAACCTTTCAACGGGACGGAGGTAGTACAAGTTACAGGTTCTTAAGGCATGTGATAGCCAGAAGCACGGATGCATAAAAGGGACGAAACAAAAAGCCTAAGACTATACAAGGAGGTCATAAGTAATCAGGCAAAGCACATGCTCTAGGATATTATATAGCATATATTTAGGAATATACATGTAATAAAAACAAACTACATATCTCACCTCCAAGGTTTCAGTATTCAAGTGGCCAACTCCATGGCTTATTCGGAAACAACCATCCTGCAATGAGAACTCACATTGATATAATGCAATTCAATGCAATCCATTCCTAAAAGTATAGCTAACCTCCGAGGCCTTGTTTGAAACGCGGGAACTACCGGGAAAGACAGTTGGGTGAAAATATAGGAGATATTTGGAAGTCGAGAAACTGTGTGGTGGGAGAGGGGGGTGGATTAAGCGTTAGTTTAGACTCAACTCCATTCATGTTTGTTTAAACTAAGAAAGAACAACTTCCTTAGTTCCTTTGAGAGAAATTCTCAAAGCATGAATAGAAATTTTCAAAGCATTTCCCCCAACTTCCCTAGCATTTCCCAGGATCTTAACATATCCTTAGAGTGTCTCATATAACATCATTACAATGTTAAGTCATCCATCATACTGAGACAATGGTTCAGTTGGAGGTCAAGTAGTAATCATGACTTTCTAGTATGAAAAAGGGAACATGGAGAATGGGAAGCTCACTAACTTGAAGTGTAAGCAGCTCAATTGCAAAATGGGGCTCATCATTCTGCACAACAAGAAGTGTAATAGAATTAAAACCAGTAATCAACAGGACAAACTAAACAAAGCGAAGGCATGTGGGAAAAAAGGAACTGATTTTACAGCTACCTGTAGTGCTATTGGTGCTTGCTACCTTAAATAGCTAATATGATTCCCTCCATCGCACAAGGTAAGCATGGAATGACTATTAGAAATATTCCAAATTGGACCTGCACATGTGATTACCAAATGTAATTATAGTTTCAGTTTTAAACGCTAAGCATACATTGCTAATTGATGAGACAAAAAGTTAAAAAAGAAATATTGAAATCTATTAAAAATCAATTTTTTCTCAAATTCAAAGATTTCTTTTTTGCAAATACAATCAAAAGCACGTATTTTGTTAGTTTGGGAGAAAATCAAGTATTAAATAAGTCTGTTTTGGGGGGATAGGTGAAGTACTTCATTTATCAGAATTCAAAAAACAAAGAGGCGAACTTCATTTATTTAAATTCATGACAGCAAGTTTTATTTACAATTTTTTAAATTAAATTTGATAATAGTTGAAAACAGTTCACAACCTTTCTGATTGACATTAGATAAAAAAAAAATGGGACCCGCAGTTGTAATTTACACTATTACTACTATGTTCTATCTATAAAAAAGAACATATAGACTAAGTGGTGGGTGAAGAGTATACTTCATTGAAAAAAGCCTCAATTGCACCCATTATATTATATCTCAATTCCTGTCCAAAGTAAAGACTAAAGAAGCCCTCTTCTAAAGATATGTTGTGTGTATTTAATGTGCAGCTTAAGCTTAGCTGCAGGTAGGCCTATCTAAAATTTGATATGGGCGTGTGTGTGTATCTACAGAACCTTACCAATCTCTGCTAGCCTGCTGCCACACCAAATTTATATAAGCATGCCCTCAAGTAGACCCAATGTGTTTCTCACAGCATATTTCGGAATTGGAAGATGGGCAACAGGTAACCAAGTTTGGATACAAGATAAGACCAATTTAATTCAAATTCGCAGCTGTTAATATCATTCTTTAAAATTTTGAAGACAAAATTAATAGCACCTACCACATGAATGAGTAAATGGACCTTGAATGCAAGCAAGGGAGAGAAAACGAGCCTAGCTGACCTTTAGTATAGAATACAATCCTCCATATGCAGGATGGAGCGAAGATCATGAGTCTACTTAAACCAAGACCGCACGCAAGGCCCTCGACCGAAGAAGAACCACAAAGAGCCGAGGCTGGGGAGTGACTGGGTGAGTAGAGAACAGTTCGAGGGTTGGCTTCGAGTGGAATGAAGTTTTATTTCAAAACATGGGAAGATGAAAAGACGACCCAATGGAACAGACAACACGAAAGATCGATTTAGAGCCCTATGGGTAAGGCTAAACAAGTTCATCTACCGTAATTTTAATGAAAAACCTGCGGGCTGGCCTAAAACAAGCTCTAGCCTAAAGATTGATTAAAAAGTTAAGATGATAAACTTATGGTCGTGTTGGTTGATTTTTTTTATTTATGAAAAACAATAATATTAAAAATATAATTTATCGGTAAAATAAAGAAAAAATTATACTCCCTCTGGTCCCAAATGAAATTCACACTTTGACTTCACACAAATTAAGGAAATAAAGTTGACTTTACTGTAGAGCACACTGTTGTGACATTGTTTGACACTATTTAGCACTGTTTGACACTGTTTTGCACTGTTTTAATGTAGATAATTTGCCAAATTAGGAAGAAGGAAGAAGTGTGAAGTTTATTTTCGCAATTTATATCCTAGTATCGGCGCACCATGAAGATGGTGTGCCCGATCCCAAACGACGTCGTTTGTTGTTAACAATTACGAAACCTTCGCAGCTAATGGAACGGCCTCCGGCGTCGCCCTCCCTAACAATTATATCCTAGGTTTCAATCTGTGTTGTCGCATTTGGGTTGTGAAATCAGATAACCTCTTTTTCGTAGATCTAAGAGTGATTTGGTCCGTCGTTGATCAGTAGGAGCTCCCTTTGTGGTGGTGGTGTCGCCAATGAGCTTTGTAGATGTCCCTGATCAATTTTCCTTGCGATGGTCACTCCTGATCTTTGGTTTCGGTTGGGGTGTCTGCCAAATCTCCAGCAGTAATGCCAGCTTGCTCAATGGAGAGGACGATTTTGTGAAGTTGCATCAATGGAAATGGAATTTACATTTTGATTACATCAAGTTACATTTTAGTTAAATGAAGTTGCATCTCTGTAAAGGCGTTTTACATTTCAATAAGTCAAAGTTACATTTCCCAAGTTACATCTAACCTAATTCCAAGTTACATTTCAATTTTAGCAATTTACATTTCAACGAGTTACATTTGAATGAGTGTAATTTACATTTTGATTAACTTGAAGTTACGTGTAGATTCACACGAGTTACATATCATATAGTTATGGGAGCATGGTGCTCACCATGCACCCATACCACAGTATACGTACTGGTTTATTTTGGACCTACCCAAAAGGGAAGTGTGAATTTCATTTGGGACCGGAAGGAGTATAAAAAATAGTTAAAATGATCATCTACTTTAACTTCAGTCTTCAGCCAACAAAGTCAGAAAAGTAGTTTCAACCTTATTTTTTCTTATTATTACACAATTCAACGCGCTAAATCAAAAATTACATGTTTGATTAAAAAGTTAGATGATAAACCTAATAAGCCGAATAACAGAGTCACCGAACGGACTCTTGGGAGAAAACGTTGTAACTTGAAGCAACGATGAGTGTAGAAAATGAAAATGAATATAGGCTTGAGCAGTGGAATATTTCCCCCAAGTAGAGCCGTCAAAACCCGCGGGCAGGCCCGTTCAAACCCATTTATTGCTGGGTTAGGGTTATGAATTTCTGACCCATTTAGTTCGCGGATTTTTCGGGTCAACCCACACAGGTTGCGGGTTTAAGTGGGTTGGCCCAACGGGTTGCGGGTTGGCCCACAGGCCAATATACAAACCATTGCTTATAGTCAATGACTTAAATTAAACCACTGCTTTTATTATCTTCAATATTGTTCTTTCACTACCAAAATTGTTATAATTACAATTACTTAAATTACAACCATTGCAAAATAATTATTATTTCTTTAATAAATATTCAAATAAAATGTAGAAAAATATATTTTAGGTGAAGTTTGATACAATATTTAGTAATTAGGAGTCATGACTTACAAGTAATCAATCAAAGGTTTAAATAAATCATTACTTTTATACAATGCTTATTTTTGTTACATTCCCCCTTACAGTTTTCAAATTCTCGTATAACTAGTATTGAATATTTTTTAATAAAAATGCTCTTAGTATTTTGATTTTTTATATTTTCCTTATTACTACTTACTAATAAAAATATATACTCCAGGGTAATTATTACTCCCCCGTCTCATTTGACATGTCCTACTTTCTTTTTCGGGTTGTCCCAAAATAAGTGTCTCCTTTCCTTTTTTGAAAAGAAATATGTGGTCGACATCATTCACTTTATTATACTCAAATCTTAAGCACAACTTTTACTTTTTCAACCACTTTATTAATAATCGTGTCAAGTCAAAGTGAGACACATAAAATGGGACAAATGTAGTATTAAAGAATCTTTTGTCCTATTTGTTTATTACATTGGCCCGCGGGCCAATCCGTTTAACCCATGTGTTAGGTGGGTTGGGCTAGGGTTGTAGAAAATTTGGATATGCATGATGGGAGTAATCCATGCGATATTTTGATTATTGGATTGATATTGAGGGATTAGAATGATATATATAAATGTTGATAATGTGTGGTTTCAATATTATCTTAAAGAGGATTATTTGATATTTACGTGGATAGACAAAGTGGTGGAACATGAAGTAAAGAATCCTTGAGTTACTATCATGATCAAATCGATGGGAATCATTAGTGATTACTTGTGTGTTCTATTCAAGATATTGAATAAGATAAGCATGTATTTAGAATGAGTGGTCAGTGATGGACTACGGTCATGCTCAAATGAAAAGGTGAGGTCTATCTAAGATTATATGATGGCAGCCCGAAAAGTCTTGACAAAGACTAGCCCGAGGTTGATAGATTATGATTACTCAAATTTATATGGTGTAACCCTTGAAGATTGCTATATGCAAGTAGAAGTCATGGGCTGTTTAAGTGGAACTTTTTGAATACAAATGGACCTATGAGTCAGCTATTTGACTTGATATGTATATTGTTTATGTGATTTGAAATGGGGTAGCTATATATTATGCCCATAGTCTATTATCATCCTATGTTGAGAGTCTTGTGTTTGAGAGACTGAGTATATACCATATAATCGTCATTGTACCTTTCAAATGCTTCAAAGTACTAATCTTCTCTCAATGAGGAAGGCCACCTCACAGTTTGCAAGTAAAAGCTAGAGTTTGCTTCCTGTTCTCGTTGTTCGGGTGATCTATGGAACGTGAGTCATGCTTCTTCCGATTCGATTTTGATATAAATAAAAAGATGCTCATGAAAACTATTTTAAGCTATAAATGATTTGGGAGTCTATATGCTCATGTTGTCCTATGTGGCCTTTGAATTTAAAATTACTTTGTTTCCCTTGCGTATTTTTAAATGGTTTACTTATGATTGTTTATGGATGTACTTCTGTGAATGATACTCATGTACGCTTTGCATTGTCCGGGTGAGGTTGACTACATATAAATATAGCCCTGCTAATGATAAAAAATGATTTTTTAACTACATCATTATTATAGCCCTAATATTAAATATAAAACATATTCACTATTTACAAAAAATAATTAGGTAATTAGGATCAATTTTTCAATGTTTACATTGAAATCAATGTTTTTTTCCTTGGATTCCGTTTAGACTATTTACATTTCAATTTAATGCAAGCTACATTTCCTATCAACGTGAGTTACATTTCTTTAAACGAGAGTTACATCACCCTGCAATTGAAACAAAAAAAAATCATTGTTTATCCACGGTACGTACTGTTCATGCGTGTTTTATTCCTGGGACTCTGGGAGCATGATGCACATACCGGATACCACAATCAATATATATATATATAAAAGATGAACTTTTTAAGAGCATACAAAGCGCCACATAATCCTGTCATGTCATTATATATAACAATTATTTACTTATTTTTATACCTTTTGTTTTTATTAGATTCTATTTTTGATTGCATATTGATATGGAAACAAAAATCCTTATAAATCCACCTTAATTAATTTGGTAAGCTTCAAATAAGTAAAATAATTTTTGGTTATCAAAGTGAAATTCTAATAACGTTTATTGATATGGAAACTAATTTATATTAGTTTACTACACCGAAATAAATAGAAACAAATATGCAAATTAGTTTACTTATTAATTTGACACCTATTAATAAATTAGTAAGCTTCAAATAAGTAAATAATTAAAAATGAAATTAAAAATTATAACCAACATAAAGTATATATATTTTCACAAGTAAATATGTTTAGCTTAGCCAAATAAGTAAAAAAAAAATGTTGTTTCTTTATTTTACACCTAAAATTCAAATATGCCTTCACTTTTGAAATAGATTTCTAATTCAAATTAAAAAATCTTTATAGATTTATGAATTCCTACTTTTATTTTAATAGAATGTTTTTAATTGGATTGATTTCAGTTCCAGATTAAATCAGATCAGATCAAACTTTAATAATTATAACAATAAGTCACATAAAAAATAGACATCTAATAGACCATATTAATTCATACCAAATCAAACCCGAAATTTTAATTCAATTAAAAATATTCTTATTAATGAGTAAACTGTAAGATCTAACAATTAAGAAATATAATTTTTTTTTTATTATTGGGTTCATAACAATCATGTTTACTTGAGATGCTTATGTAGAAGACCAATTTAACTTTTTTTTCATGTATATTTTTCTTTGTTTCACAAATGGAATATATTTCACATATATTTTTCATGATTCAGAAGATTCCACCTATTTAACCAGAATTCAATCAATTTCAGCAAAATAAGTTAATTCTATTTACTTTAGTATTATCAAGCACACTATATATTAGACTAAGTTTATTTTTCTTTCAAATCACATTATATGTGATCCGATAGAAATTAAATTTCAAATTAGCTAAATTACGAAAGACTTGAAAACTAGTACTAGTATAAACTAACTTCAAATTGAAACTTGAAAGGAACGTGTCTCCACACCCTTTCAATTTTACTTTGTTTTAAACAAAAAAAAAAGAATTTTATTTATTGAACAAACGTAGCTTAGTCGTTGGCTCTACTAAGCTAGTAGTCTTTTATTGGAATTCAAGCATCCACTAAACAACCAATTTGGCTCTCCAAATCTTCAAGTCAAGGAAACATCCTCAGCTACTCATCTCCATGAATTTGCTTCTTGAAGGAAATAGATAACTACTCCCTCCTTCTAAAAAAAATTCCCACATTGACTTGGCACAAATATTAAAAAGTGACAATAAAATGAAAATGTATCGTTATAGTTGTTTAAGAAAAATGTAAATGAATTTGTGGCACCAAACATCCAAAAATCATAAGTCAATGTTTTTGAACGTTCCATTTCATGTATTATACCCAAAGACAAAATAAATGACGGAATTTCATATGCTCACAAAATAAATGACTAAATCTAGTTGAAATATATCGTGCATGGGCTATGGCTACAAATCACAACTTTAGACTATCTACATCCCGGTATCGGTCATAAATACTACGGAGTACATTCAAACCCTGCAATAAGATCTACTATGCATTCTACATGTACTTGCAATATTCTTCTTTGACTTTTGAATTTAAAAATGTTAATATTATTCTTTGATTGGTGAGTAATTATTAAATTTAAAAATGCACGTTTTGATGTAAAAAGAAATTAAAATTTGGTCAACTAATCCTTTTAACTTTTTCCCGGCAAAAAATGTTGAAAATAAAGGAAAACAAAAAACATACTCCTTCCGTCCCTAAATTTACTTCCAACTTTCTCTTTTCGTCCGTCCCAAAAAGAACTTTACTTTCCCTTTTTGGCAAAGAATTTGTGGTTCACAGCATTTCTTTCTCCTCTGCACAACTCTCCATCACACAATTCTCACTTTCTTAATTACCGTGTCACTTTAATTTGGAAGAACATTTAGGGACGAAGGGAATAATATTTTGACCATTGGATTTCAAAAAAAAATAACACTCCATCTCCGAGTGTTATTTAGCCTCCCCACAACCACTTGAACCACTTGTGACGTCATGATACTCCTGGCCCCACCAATGCACTATAGGATGAAGAGCTTTTAATTCATGGAAGAACTTTTGTTAAGAGTTGGGAGTTCAATATAAGTATATTCGTTTACCTTAGCCTGAATTATTATCACCTAATGGGAAGTATTACATATATATACATAGAATTTGAAATAATTTTATACTGCGTAACTAGGAACTAAACTGGCTAGGATAGACAACAATTCAAATCAGGGAAATTGCCCTAAATAGGAGTAAACAACTCTGGAAATTCAAAAATATGACTACTATATTTTTTTCGAAATAGGAATCATTACTGTCATGATCGAAAAGTATTATCATGATTGAAAAATACTATCATTAATTATAATAAATACTGACATGTTAAATGCACATTACTGCAACTATTTGACAGTCATGATAAAAAGATGGCAGTAAATTAAATAATGTAATCTTAGTCCTATTTCGGGAAGAAAAACATTGTAGTCCTATTTTGGAATTTCAAACTCTATTTAATCCTATTTTGGGAAATCTCCCTTCAAATAACTACAATGTTTACCTTAAGATAAGTTCATAAAAATACGCGGTTTTTCCTAAAATTCGACTAGGTATTATACGGCCTCCTTGGAGAGTTATACATGTGTAATTTATTTTGATCATAAGCTTAATGTTGCTTATGATGGAAAAACAATAATTAGAAGAACAATAATTAGTTTTTCTAATTGTTTTTCTTTGCGATAGAAATATCAATAATTAGTTTGGTAAAAGATTGAGACGAGGGTGGACACGTACTACCAGCACCTTCTTAATTCTGTGACTTAACGTACAAAATTTCCTAAGTACGTACATACGTAGAAGAACAAATCTTATCCGTAGGTGTATATATATATTGAAGGGTTTCTTTCACTAGCCTTCTTCTTGTACGTCTCCCAAAAGCTAAGTGGCCAAACTAATTAATTAAGATCTCTCCTATATATCCAGGTAACTAATTTTATTTTTTGCAAAATAGGCATTATATAAGCTAGTGCATGTATTATCCATTGAAATGCTGATGTAATTTGTGGTTGGAAATAGAGTTCAATATATACATGGAAAAGCCCCCAATCTCCAATTGCTGCAATAGCATGGAACATGAGGTATCTTTATTACTAGTATTAATTAGACGTTTTGGGTACGTTTTCCTGTGATAATAATAAAAGGTGCGTGTATGAAAATATTTAATTATAAAATTTCAAAAGTACTTGAAATTCGAAACATAATTAAACAAAAACCATCTTTAAAATACTAAGATACTTATCTAAGAGACTAAAACCGTACGTGCAAAACTATAAAACTTGGAAAATACGTACCAAAGGATTTTCATAAACTACTACGGAATATTAAAATTAAGCTTGCTTGTTAACTATAATATGACGACAGCTAATACACACACACACCAGCTACTATAAGCATAACTTGATAAACAATACTACCTCCATCCCGAAAAGGTTCGCTATATTGAATATTCTTGGTCAATGATGGCAAACTTTGAACGATGATTTTAATTACTATATTTGTATGTAATTTATAAATTTTATTTATACGTTTATGAAAATATTTTGAATGAGGAACATTTTGATATAATTTTTATATTTTAATAATTTCGTATTATTAAATATCATTATTCAAAGTTGATTGTTATTGATCAAGAAAAAGTCAATTTCACTAACCTTTCGATAAGGGACAGAGAGAGTATAATGCAATATAAAACTGAATATATTCATCAAGAATACCATTAATATCATGGTCACTACTGCGTATTACAAATAGCATTTTGTCTCCTCTCTATACCAAATAGTTATATATTGATGACTATTTGAAAACACTATATAAAATCTTCACGCGAAAATTTTTCAAAATAAATATGAAAATTACCTACAAGCTAAGGTCGAAGACCTTCTAATATTAATAACTCAGAGAAAACAAATACAAATCCAATGAAAATGTCTACTATGAAATCATTGAAGAATTTTAATACATATGAAAAGTAAGTGATACATATACGTACAACGGAGTATAATTTTTGAATTAAAGTGAACAAAAACATGGAAGACGGAATTTCCGGGAAAATTTTACATTGGAACAATTAGAAATTACCAAAATGGTAAAATACTATCTAGTACCTTATTCGTCCGCTAAGATTGTCTCATTTTACCTTTTTGAAAAATTTCATTGATCCATATCAAATTTGATAAAATTTGTGTGGTTCTAAATAATCGTGACATCGCCTCTTGTCCCAATGTTAGTGGGACGAAGGTAGTATTTTATAAAGTAAACAAACATTTAAGATGATTATAATATGTTAGATCACAGATACTTTCAAGCAGAAAAGTAAGAATTCAGTGATAAAGTAGAAGATCAGATCGAATGATTTATTCTCCAACTGAACAGTTCACGGGGATACAGTGTTCAGGGACTATTCGAGATGTCCAATCTCCAAAAGCCAAGTTCACAACCAAATAACAGCCTACTGACAATAGCTTCTATTATTCTATTTATAGTAAAATTATCCACGCAGGGATAAAGTAACATTTAATAGTTACTTAGCTAATTAACTAACTATCTTTCGGCTCCTCCTTTTATACACTTTTTTAAAATACTGAGTGGGTTGCTGAGCTGTGTGTCTATCATTACTTCCCCCCTGAAAATTCACCTTGTCCTCAAGGTGAAACTCTGGAAATTGCTCTCTCAACACTGATACTAATTCCCAAGGATCTTCAAAACTTGGTAGCCCCTTCCAGTGTATCAGCACCTCAATGTTGCCCTCTTTACTCACTCTGGAGTCCATTATCATCTCTGGTGTTACCTGCAATTCAAGATCTTCACCCAAACACTTAGGTAAAGGCTGGTAGGATGTGTTTGGTGATAGCACCTTCTTCAGTAGGGAAACATGAAAAACCGGGTGTACTTTACTGTCTTCTGGCAGCTTTAACTTGAATGCTACTGGGCCTATCTTGTCAATAATCTCAAAAGGTCCATAGAACCTAGGGCTCAACTTTTGGTTTATTCTTTTGGCCAAACTTCTGAGTTTATAAGGCTGAATTTTCAAATAGACCTGATCCCCAATGTTTAATTTTACCTCTCTTCTGTGTTTGTCAGCTTGTTGTTTCATCTGATTCTGAGCAATCTCTAGGTTTTTCTTCAATTCCTCCAACATGATATTCCTTTGGGCTATTAATCTGGACACTTCTTCTACCGCAGTAAGTGTTGCATCTCCTCTGATGATGGCAGGAGGGTCTTGTCCAAATAAAGCCCTGTATGGAGTCAGTTTCAGAGATGAATGGTAGTTTGTATTGTACCAGAACTCTGCCCAATGCAACCATTGACTCCACTGTTTTGGTTTTCTGCCAGTGATGCACCTTAAATAGGTCTCTAGGCACCTGTTGACCACCTCAGTCTGCCCATCAGTCTGAGGGTGGTATGCTGTACTGTATTTCAACTGGGTTCCTGCCAACTTGAATAATTCAGACCAAAAAGAGCTCATGAACAAACTGTCTCTGTCACTTACAATAGTTTTAGGGAAACCATGTAATTTGACCACCTCTTTTGTGAACAATTCAGCTACTTCTTTTGCATTATAGGGGTGAGAGAGGGCCAAAAAATGGGCAAACTTAGTTAATCTATCAACAATAACCAAGATCGTATCCTTCCCATGAGATTTAGGCAATCCCCCTATGAAATCCATGCTGATATCTGTCCATATGTTGCTGGGAATTGGTAGGGGCTGTAGCAACCCTGCTGGCTTAAGAGCCTGGTATTTGTTGGTTTGGCAAGTAGCACATCCTTCCACATACTTCTTGATGTCAGCCCTCATACCATGCCAATAGAACAAATTGGAGATTCTTTTCATAGTCCTAAAATACCCTGAGTGACCCCCCACTGCAGATTCATGATAGTCCTTCATAATCTTTAATACCCTTGGGGACTCCCTTGGCAACACCAACTTCTTTCTGTAATACAATAACCCCTTTCTAATCTGGAAATCAGGGTACTCATCTGGTTGTGCTATGACCTTCTGAATCAGGTCCTTGCATTTACAATCTGAATTCAATTCCTCTTCTAACCCTTCCCACTCTTGGCAGGTGACAATGGATAAAGATTGTAGTGTCAACTTTCTGGATAAGGCATCTGCAGCCCTATTCTCCTTCCCAGGTTTGTATTTGATGATAAAGTTGTATCCCAGCAATTTTGAAGTCCATTTCTGTTGTTCTTCCCCCATCACTCTCTGTTCAGTCAAGAACTTTAAACTCCTTTGATCAGTGTGGATTTCAAAAACTCTGCCCAGTAAGTAAGGTCTCCATTTCTGTACTGCCAAAACAATAGCCATGAGTTCTCTTTCATAAACTGATCTATTCTGATTCCTTTTTGATAATTCCTTGCTCATGTATGAAATTGGTTTTCCTTCTTGCATTAGGACTGCCCCCAGACCTGTCCCAGATGCATCTTTTTCTAGAATGAACATTTTATTAAAGTCAGGTGTAGCTAACACAGGTACTGAAATCATAACCCTCTTTAATTGTTCAAATGCCTGAGTGGCCTTGTCACCCCAACAAAAGCTGTCTTTTTTCAGAAGTTGTGTAAGAGGTAAGGCAATTTGACTGTACCCTTTTACAAACCTTCTGTAGTAGCCTGTTAACCCTAAGAAGCCTCTCAGTCCCTTCAAATTTCTAGGTTCAGGCCAGCTAACCATGGCTTCAATTTTGGCAGGATCTGCTGACACTCCTTTTCCAGAAATGATATGCCCCAAATATACCAACTGTGACTGTCCAAAAGAGCATTTTTTAAGATTGACCACCAACTCATTTTCTTTTAATGCTCTGAGAACCTTCCTCAGATGCTCCTGATGTTCTTCTTTAGTCTTACTATATACCAGGATGTCATCAAAAAATACCAAGGCAAACTGCCTTAAGAATGGCCTTAACACCTGATTCATGAGGGCCTGGAAGGTGGATGGGGCATTAGTAAGCCCAAAAGGCATAACTAGGTATTTGTAGTGCCCCTCATGTGTTCGGAAAGCTGTCTTCTGAATATCAGATTCCTTCATCCGAATCTGATGGTAACCAGACTTGAGGTCTAACTTGGAAAATATAGTAGCTCCTCCTAGCTCATCCAATAACTCCTCAATTATAGGTATAGGGAATTTGTCTGGTATAGTTATCTTATTCAACGCCCTGTAATCACCGCAAAACCTCCAGCCCCCATCCTTTTTCTTAGCTAACCAAATAGGACTACTGTAAGGACTGTTACTGTGCTGTATAATTCCAGAACTCAGCATCTCTTTAATGATCTTTTCAATCTCTGTCTTCTGATACTGTGGGTACCTGTAGGGTCTAATGTTGGGGATCTCAGCTCCTTCTTTAATGTTGATGGCATGATTGCAAGCTCGGTTTGGAGGCAAACCCTGTATGGGTCTGGAAACTTCTGGAAACTCAGCCACAATATCCTTCCAGATTTGATCCATCACCTTTTCTCCTTCAACTAGCACTGAACCCCCTTCAGGATATACAATAAATCCATCCCCAGTATCCTGTATTATCTGTGACATTGTTTTCAAGGAAACCTCTATAGAATTTAGTTGGGGATCTCCTTGTATACTTTGATCCAACCCCTCCATTTTCCATTTAATGCTTTGTTTCTGGAAATTTATCTCCACATCTCCCAAGCTGGTTAACCACTCCATTCCCAGTACTAAATCAGTCCCTCCCAAATTCAGAATATAAAATTTCTGCTTTACATCAGTCCCTTGCATAGATAAAATCAGATCTTCACATCTGCCATTGTTGGTAATCTTCTCCCCATTCCCAATTTGTACTTTGTATCCTGACACAATGGTATGAGGCAGTTTCAAGAGCTCTACCAGATCTTGTGATATGAAATTATGAGTGGCCCCACTATCAATCAAAACTTCCACTTCCTTTTCACCCTTGCTCCATCTTAAACATCCTTGAACCTTAAAAGCTCTCATAGAAGGAATACCTTCCTTACTCATGAGAGACAATTGCATAGATTTAGATTCCATACCTTGCTCTTCTTCTTCTGAAATTTCAGCCCCAATTCCTTCTTCTTCCTCCTCTTTATCTGAGTCTTCTACCAGTATTAATTTGTAGTTTTTGAGTTTACAAGTGTGTTCTTTGTTCCACTTCTCTCCACACTTGAAACACAGGCCTTTTCTGCTCCTTTCCTGATACTCATCCTGAGACAACTGAGGACCCACTCTTCTGATACCTGAGGGATGAATCTCTGTAACTCTGGTCCCCCTTGCATTGAACCAAGGCTGGTTAGCCTTACTGTCTGCCCCATTCTTCTCAGTACTATGAGGTCCAGTATTGCTGAATTTGGACTTGTACCCCTCAGTCCAGACTTGTGATTTCACTGCTGCAGTCCCCTTCTCTTTCCCAAGTACCCGGTCTTCCTCCTTTCTCTTGTGATATATAGCTTCATTCCTACTCTCAATTAGTAGGGCTCTGTCCATAATTTCACTCAAGGCTCCTGAATTCGCAGGGCTGTAAGATCGTCGTGTGTGAACTCGGACTTGCGATCGCGATCTCTCTCTGGATCGCAGCTGATCAGTCAACGCGGCTATGGATGCCGCCATGTTTGCCGCCAAATTATCCAATGCAACACGTTGATCAGCAACCACTGATCGTACTCCTTCCTGTACCTCCAACAGTGTTCCCTGTATCTCAGCGATGTTCCGTTCCACAGTTTCTACGCGAAACTCCATTTTGGCTCTCGTCCGTACCATCCACCACCGTGCGTAATATTTGCTGAGGATCGCGGAACACTTCCGATCACCAGGAACGAGTGCTCTGATACCAGTGTTAGATCACAGATACTTTCAAGCAGAAAAGTAAGAATTCAGTGATAAAGTAGAAGTTCAGATCGAATGATTTATTCTCCAACTGAACAGTTCACGGGGATACAGTGTTCAGGGACTATTCGAGATGTCCAATCTCCAAAAGCCAAGTTCACAACCAAATAACAGCCTACTGACAATAGCTTCTATTATTCTATTTATAGTAAAATTATCCACGCAGGGATAAAGTAACATTTAATAGTTACTTAGCTAATTAACTAACTATCTTCCGACTCCTCCTTTTATACACTTTTTTAAAATACTGAGTGGGCTGCTGAGCTGTGTGTCTATCATAATAGAACTCACCTATAAGAGAAATTATAGCAACCATAATTTTCAAGTAATTTCTCTAAATATGAGTACAAATAATGCATGTGTGCAGTTCTGATATATGATAACTATATTTTATTCCCTAAATATGAGTAATTATTGTCATGCTTGAATCATACTGTCAATTATTATAACATCGTACTGTCATACTTAAGTATGGTATTACCATTATATGACAGTAAAATTTTAAGATTGCAATAAGTTATTTTTAAATTTTATATTGTTCTATTTCTATAGTGGGAATTTCCCCTATTTTTAACAATTTTTATTGTTAAAAGAAGATTCAATTCATACATTTTCAAAAAGTATTACCGCGAAGGACTAATTTCGTGCATTGATTTGAACGAAAAAATCCAACAAAATTTTAGGCCCTATTTACTAACAGAAATATTTTAGGCCCTATTTACATATGAAAAGTAAGTGATACATATACGTACAATGGAGTATAATTTTTGAATTAAAGTGAACAAAAACATGGAAGACGGAATTTCCAAAAAACTGGAAAACTAGAGATACCAAAACTAGAAAACGTGTTTACCTCATTGTTCTCCAAAAGAAAAAATGTGAAACATATCTCAGTTTTTTCTTCTTAAATGAAGAAGTGACCTATACGTCTTTTCTGATGGATCATTGTATGTCTTATTGCTTTGACTTCCATTTAACGCAATTCACATTTTGCTGATTATTTACTATATATGTTCCCATGGTAGAGTTCTTCAAGGTCAACGTCCACAACGACTTGGGCAGGAGCTGAGGACAATATTATATTGAACCCAGAATTTGAGGACGGTCTAAACAACTGGACAGGAAGAGGGTGCAAGATTGTTTTATTGAATGATCTTACTTCTATCACAAACGGTGAGGAAAACATGTCATCACTATCTTCTGAAAAGGCTTTTGCATGTGCAAAAGAACGAACACAAGATTGGAATGGGATCCAGCAAGACATAACAGGAAGAGTGCAACGAAAGCTTGCATATGAGGCTATCGCCATCGTACGGATACGTGGTAAGCAGAGCCGGTTTTAAGGAGGTTCAATAGGTTGTACAGAACAACTAAACAAGGCTTCCCGATTTATGGGGGCCCCGGTTTTATAATTTTTTTAGTATTATATGGTAATATTATATATTGATATTAATCAATAAAATACAGTTAGTAAGGAAGAAAAATACAAGAGTATCAATTTTTGTCGGTCCTTTTACTCCTCCTCTACTCAAATTATTTGATTGATGAGTTCTCTAGTTTTAAATCAAGTATTAAGTGACTTTTAATATTTTTTATTAAGTGACTTTTAATATTTTTTATTACATTATTTATTTAATATTCAATTGATTTGAGTACAAGTATTTAGATTGAGTTTGAAATTTTATATATTAATATGTGTTCTCGATTTTACATTTTGAATCGGGACTTCCAAATTATTTAGACGGCTCTGGTGGGGGTGGTAAGGTAAACAATGCTGAAGTTCGTGCCACATTGTGGCTTCAATTCAATGATCATCGTGAACAGTACATTGGCATCGCGAGGTACTTATGCATGTGTTATCTTGCTCACATCTTCAATTTATGTTAGACAAATATACATACTTGGACCTACAACTTATCTTTGTACGAAGTATTCATTACTAGTTTTGTAGATTTATTCATTCCCAAATACGGTCTCATAACTCATAAATTTATCTAGATTAAGGATTTTTCTCTATCGGAATATATTTCACGATAATTAAATCTATTCATCAAGTGTGGTATTAAAAACAAAACATATGATTTAAATCACGAAAAAAATTTGAAACAAATACAAGGGTACTGTTCACGTGAATTTTACCCCTGAGAGTACGGTGCTCACCATGCACCGGTTGCATGGTATACGGACCGAACGCGGGGAAACACGTAAGTATTAGAAAAATACGGGTTTACTTTTGTTAGAAAAACACCGCAAGAGCAAAAGACCAAGATGTCATATCTTAATATTTTTTTTAGCATTTTTCATACATGTCATATATTTATATTCAATATAAATGTTTTTAATTGCCATGTCATATATCAATTCACGTTAGTCAATCCCAAACTCTTTTGGAATTAATGTTGTTGTATATATTTATACAAGCCTTTTCATATCTGCGTGTATGTGTTAGTTCATATTTTTCATATAACTTTATCTAATAAGCATGGATAAACCTATTCTATGTGTTTAATTTATAAATTATTACTTAATTAAGAATAAAATGAAATACTTTTTTATAATATATCATCAATGACCATGTTGCTAGAAAGAAATTCTATAAAAGTTCATTGAAAAGTTTAGAGTATAGACATTACTTTTCATCAAGGAATCCTATCAAAAAGAAAAGGACTAGAGACTAAAAGTTTCCAAACACTAACTAAATAGGGAATAAGGTTTCCTTAGTCTTTTTTTATTATGAAAATTTGGAAGTGAAATTTGAAGTTTCCAAAATTCTGATATGCTTCTGAGTTTTCAAAATGGTGAACATGTGCTAGATAAATATTTGTTCTTCTTGCTCTTCAAGTAAATAATGATCAACATGAACATAAGTTAGATGACTAAATTTACAAGTTCTTTTATATAATGACAATGATGATCAACATATATACGAAATGTTAATCTTATTATATATGTAGGGTGCAAGCATCAGACACAGATTGGACAAAGTTACAAGGAAAGTTTCTTATAAATGGCTCTCCTTCAAAGCTAGTTATATTTTTGGAAGGTCCACCTCCAGGCATTGAAGTAATTGTTAAATCCTTTAATGTAAAACATGCTACTACAGTTCCTCCATCTCCCCCGCCGGTGATTGAGGTAGCTAGCTTAGCCGCTATTCTAATTGAGTAGAGTTTTCAAAATGCATGAATCTACTTATTTTTTCTATTTAAGAAAAATTTTGAGAACAGTACTTTAAAGTTTAAAGGCATTGTACCTTGTTTACGTGAACCCATTAGAATATTATGATGAAATAGTAATTTGGACCAATCAAATGCATTATACCTCACTTATGTACATAAAACAAGAAATTTTATTTTAAAAAATGACTACATGCAATGTGTTCTATTATTTAATTGTTACTTATACAATCTTTAGTTTGGAAAGTGATTTTAGTCTTTCGAACTGTTACATTTTAGGGTTTAGCATTTAGGGTACCCGTCTAGGGTTATCAATCTCTATTTAGAGCTTATTGATGGTTGCTCCCCAATAGTGATGGATGTAATATAGGTCAAATCCACTCAAAGGTGTTCACATGAACACCCAAATATTTAAAAGAAATGTGTAGTATAATTGTGTAAATTAAGTGTAATTATATATTGTACTTTGTCTATATTACTTTTAACTTCATATACCTGTTTTTTTGTTATAAAAGAAATATACCGTAAAATCGTGATATCAAAATTTTACTTTTCTTTAAAAATTTAATTTTAAGGAAGTTGAAAACTCAAAGTGCGTATGCTAGATCTGCCATTACTCAACAACGTAACTGACTAGTGACCTTCGTCAACTTTCTGGTGACTTTAGATAATGTGCGGTGGGCGTGTATAATATAATTTCACTTGTAGTTTGAAAATTTATTTAAAGAAGATATATACAATAAATATATACAACATTCGTGTCTCATTCTCTTTGTTTGTTCCAAAGAGTCAAAATCATGATACATTGTAATAAAATGATTTTTTCTGTCAAATTGAAAAATATTGCAAACTATAACTTATAGCGAAGTTGTTCAACTTCATTACAAATTAGATTGCAAACTTCTGTAACTACCTATATGTAACAAAAATCCATTACAAAGCTGATTAGAAATTGTTTTTTATAGCGACGGTTCATAATGTATTTTAAGGATTTTTAGAAATTTTAAAAATAGAATTCTACCCAACACCATTCATTTTTTGGCGGGTGTAGTGTACTCGAGAATATAATATCTATTTTAATTATTGATTCGATTTGAACTTTGTAAACTACTGAGTAATATTTAATCTATTCAATGTCTAGAATCCTGGTTACGGCGTTAACATTATTATAAATAGCAATCTCGATGACGGGACAACAAATGGGTGGTTCCCACTTGGCAATTGTACTATGATTACTGCAAGTGGCTCTCCACATATACTTCCCCCGATTGCTAGATATTCATTAGGAGTTTGTTCACTCTTAAGTGGTCGATATCTTCTTGTGACTAATCGCACTCAAATATGGATGGGTCCCGCACAAATGATCACTGATAAAGTTAAACCTTACCTGACATATCAAGTCTCTGCATGGATCAAAATAGGAAATTACACAACTAATGGTCCTCAAATCATAAACATTGCCTTTGGAGTGGACAACGAATATGTGAGCGGCGGCCAAGTTGAGATTAATGATGACACGTGGCATGAAATTTGTGGGGCCTTCAGAATTGAGAAACAACCAACTAAGGTAATGGTCTATATTCAAGGTCCTGTTGCAGGTGTTGATCTGATGGTTGCTGGGCTTCATATTTTTGCTGTTGATAGAAAGGCTCGTTTTAAGCATTTGAAGAAACAAACTGATAAGGTAATGTACACAAGAGAGTTCAAGGTCTTATATTGTTTTCATTTCTCTTTTGATCGATGAAACATACTCTTCAATACTCACCATGATCATAAATTATGAATGGAGCATGTAATTTGTTCCCTAATATAGCCATACTGTAGTTATTAATATGTAAACTCTTTTATCATAATACTTGAGGTTCCATCATAAACATTAATCTGATAAGCTAAGAGTAGTATTTAAATTTATATGTTATGTGTATGTTGGTATGTCTTCATATTTAGTTGATATGGAGCATACTCTACAATATAATGCCATATTAAGATATTCTATTGATAGAGTTTTTATGATGTGGTCTCGCTCACCCACATGTATGAGCTCATATACTAATATACTAAAAGAGATTACTTCAAATAAGAGTAAAACATGATTAAATAGCATACAAATAACTATTTATGCTTAATCATAAAGTAGGATTGATTTAGTCTTAATATAATCATAATGTAGTTGCAACATCTTATTTTATTGGGAGTCTATAATTCCATTTTGGAAACAACTATAAAAATACTATTTAAAGAACCTTGTTATGTTTAGAATTATTAATGAAACTTGATCTTGATTTTACATAAACAGATACGCAAGCGTGACGTCATCTTGAAATTCTCAGGATTGGGGTCGAGCAGTTCCTTGAGAACCTTTGTGAAAGTAAAACAGACACAAAATAGCTTCCCTTTTGGATCATGTATCAATAGATCACAAATAGACAATGAAGATTTCAACAATTTTTTCATTAAGAACTTCAATTGGGCTGTGTTTGGGAACGAATTAAAGTGGTACTCGACAGAACCGCAACAGGGACAACTAAACTATAAAGACGCAGATGAGATGTTGGACTTCTGCACAATGAACAACATTCAAGTGCGTGGGCATTGTATATTTTGGGAGGTGGAATCAACGGTTCAACCATGGATACGTTCTTTGACCAAAAGTGATATGTTAGCCGCTGTTCAGAATCGTCTAACTAGCTTGCTCACACGCTACAAGGGCAAATTCCCACATTACGATGTGAACAATGAGATGTTACACGGTTCATTCTATCAAGATCACTTGGGTAAAGAAATTAGAGCAAATATGTTCAAAACTGCACACCAACTTGACCCTTCTTCCATCTTGTTTGTCAATGATTACCATGTTGAGGATTATGTAGATGCTCGATCATCACCTCAAAGGTAAATTTATTTCTTTGAGTTAGAAGACTCATACACCTCCAAAGATGAATATGTGTTCTTTTTAGTGTATTATTAACTGAAATTTATATGTTTCCAAACTAATAAGCTAAAAGTTATATGCAATGGCAGAAATAAATTAAAAATGATTGAGTATTGATACTCAAGATTAGAGAATGTATAAAATTGTTCGATCAAAAAAGTAAAATGTAATGTCATTTTTAAGCAGAAGAATTGAAGTCATTATTATACACAAAATCTTAAACACCTTACATTACAGTTAAACATTTTATCTAGATTGATCATAATTGATTCATAGAGACATAGATGTTGCATTCAAAACCATGGGGGAACTCTAAAAATATATTCTCATAGAGGTAGACACCATGCATCCTCAGACCAACAATACAACTGAATTGTGCATTTCACTTAGTGGTCATACCACACACATTGTGGCCTATATAGACCATGTATTTTTTTCTCTCCCGAGGCATGTACAAATTTCTCACAAAATTACACTTTGTTTAAGCATTTTCTTTTATAATCACCCACCCACATAATTGGTATACATATTTGCTTGTTAGTTTCTACGATAAGTGTCTTCATAATGACTATAATCTTCTACATACTCACTTTGAAAACATCTAGTCGCTATATATGATTCCACAATAAAAAGGTCCACCACATAAGCAAAGTAGGATTGATATCTTGTATATTTATTTTTTATTTTAATATATAAGTATAGCATTATTTTATAAAAACAGGTACATAGAGCAAATTCTTGATCTCCAAAGTCAAGGGGCACTTGTAGGAGGGGTAGGCATTCAAGGACATATTGACAACCCCATTGGTTCACTTGTTTGTTCGACACTAGATCAGATGGGGATACTTGGACTCCCAATTTGGTTCACCGAAGTGGACGTGTCTTGTGGAAACGAATATGTTAGGGCTGACGATTTAGAGGTCATGCTTCGAGAATGTTTTGCTCACCCTACGGTGGAAGGTATAATGTTGTGGGGGTTTTGGGAGCTTTTTATGAGTCGAGAAAACGCGTATTTAGTGAATGCAGAAGGAGAAGTAAATGAAGCTGGCAAAAGATTACTTGCTTTGAAGCAAGAATGGTTGACCCACTCTCATGGTCATATTGATCATGACGTGGAACAATATTTCTTTAGAGGGTTCCATGGATCTTATGAAGTTGAAGTCATTACTGCCTCAAAGAAAATTACAAAGACATTTCTTGTTGAAAAGGGTTATGATTCGTTGATAATCTCCATTGATTTACAATAACTTCTTTTTTTCATAATTGTTCGCACAACTCTATAAACAAGTTAGTCATGTTTTAATCTTTATAGTTCTAATGAGTGTACGACTGTGGGAAATGTATTCAAAGGTCTTTGATTTTATTCTTTAATGTATCATTATTCTTTGTCCTCACTATTGTGTATATAATCTATTGAGGTATTCATGTGCCACATTACTTCTCACTAATATGATCAGCGAAAATCTCCTTATCTAATGCAATAATAACTCCCTAACTCTTTCATCATCTACTCTATTACACGAGGTGTGAACGCTCTTTAGAATGGATATTCCGTCTTTTAAAATAATATTATTATTTACTCCTTACTTCGAAAGATTTATGTACATAAATCTGACCCATGGATAAACAATTTCTATTTTTTTGATATTTTAAAGGGAAACTATCAATTTTTTTTGTCCAAAGTTAGAAGTAGATTTAAAATAAATTATAAGATCAGCAAAGATATCAAAGTTACACAAAGCAACATAAACTAAAGCCCAATCATCCCCACACACACCCTACAATACTCCACAATTCTTCTTTGGCCTCCTTGTTCAATTAATTATTTATACGCCTTGCTATAAAAAGTTGAGTTATCACAGAAACCGGGGGGTGGGGGGGTGGGGGGGGGGGGGGGGCGTAGCTCACCTAGTATGAAGAGTGCCACGAGGGAGAGGTCTCGGGTTCAACTCCAAGCAATGACTTGAGATGAAACTCCACTCTCTTTCTGTTAGAATGTGATTAAAGCTCAACTTATATCTTCCCTCCCAGATAAATGTCTGATCGATTCTGGGAGGAGGGGCTCAGGGATGAGGTGTCATCTATTTTTTTGAGTTATCACAGGATACCGGGGGGCATTCACATGAAGTCTTCTTCCAGTTCTTGCAACGATTTACCAGTTGAAGCAATGTTTTTGTTTGATGTCATCTTTTCAACCATCGTTAGATTTTTGTAGCTCCTCAACTCAGCATGCTTCTCCTTTTCCAGCTATCCACGGAAACTATCAAATAAGCCGCCCAATTTTTCAAAAAAAAATCAATTAGCCCCTCCCCCCTACTCAAAGCTCATCCAACCAATCAAACCTTCAAACTCGTTTAAAAATGACAAATACACTTTTTAGTCGGTAGTAAATAGGACAACACACTGTTCTAAAAATCGCTCTAGGCGCTCGGCTAGTCCCCGCCTAGGTGCTAGGCGGTGGTCGGACGCCCCAGTTTTAGTCTAGGAGCTCTGACTAATTGATTGGGCTGACGCCCGACCAGGGGCGGATCTAGAAAACGAAGTTATTGGGGGCACTATATATAAGAGAGATTTGTAATTTTAGTCTCATAACTTTCGGCTGTTATCGTTATTGGTCCTGTAACTTTAATTACTTGCAAATTTGATTCTGTAACTAATAAATTTTTGTAGTTTAAGGACTTTTTCACCAAAAAGTACACTCTCCGGCAGAAAAATCTGATGCTGGCAACATCAATTCCGGTATACTCCTGCTGGAAAGTGTAATTTTTCAGGGGACGAAAATTTGCAAGTGACTAAAGTTACGAGACTAATAATGAAAACGGATGAAAGCTACAGGATGAAAATTTCAAATTTCCCCTGTATATAATAATGATATTTTTAATCAATTCATTTTAGTTTCATATTAGATCAGATCAGACTTCGATTGTTAAAATAAACATAGAATTAATATCCGCCAGATTAAACCAGTTAGCCTAGAGCAAACTAGAAAATTATAGTTCGGTTAAAATTATAGAGCAAACTAGAAAATTAAATGTCATACTACCTCCGTCCAAAAAAAACCTTGCCATTTCATTTTTTTTATGATCCAGGTGTCGGTGCTTGTGCTCCCCTAATCCTGGAGTCTATGAACTACCCTCCAAAGCCCCTAGACAGTTAAATCCGGATCTGATCACAGTCAACCTCGTCAGTATTGACTCCAAAGGACGAATCCAGCAGGACTTACATCACCTTTCAAGCTGCTCCTCCCACCACACGAACCCGCTACTTTCATTACCATCTCATCCCTTCTCAGCCGCTGAGCAACTCCGTGAAGGTAGGAAGAATCATTGGGAGCAAGACCTCCCTTCTCCCCCCTAAATGTGCCTAGCGGGTTTCGAACCCGAGACCTCCACTAGGACACGGTAACCTTCCATCCAGTGAACTGGAATGGTTTTGATTTTGATTTTGATTAGTATAATACTATGGAACTTATAAATTTTATACTTTTATGCAAATATTATTGATGGATCACCGACCCAAGGGTAGCCGGAATCCGAGTAAGTAAAAGAGAAGAGCTAATCAGAAAGTTCAGGTGTATATTTTAGCAGAGTAACATCAAGAGAATACAAAATGTGATCCCTTTCCACAACCTGGAAGGTGATATTTATATTAGAAAGGCAATACTTGGTGCCCAAGTAAAAAGATGTTGAATTAATAGGGAGAAGACACGTGTCCAATCTATTCTAACAAACTAACAGTCTAAGTCGATGGGGAGCAACCACGTGTAAAGGTGATTGGAGAGATAGTCTGGGACAGCTGGCTGATTGGAACTGCCCCTAACAAACTGCTACCTGCATGCCCGTGTGGTTACGCGTGTGTAATATGGAATATTGCCCACTGCCAGGAGTGACGTGACAGTATCCTTCTGTGATGTCTGTCCTTGCGTATTTGTCTAAGTCCATAATGCCTTGATCACACATTCAGACCCTGAGCTCACTGAGGTCAGTTTTTGGAGCCTCGGGCTCATCGTTGGGGAATATGTCTTTCGTTTCTGGTTCCGTCATTGAGATCGTTGACTCCTTAGTTTGACTCTGATTGACCCTGCGTTGACGCCCGAGGCCGGAGTCAGTGTCGAGCTCGGTTCATTCGAGGTTGGGCTCATAACTTGTCGAGTTTGGGTGGTTCCTGAGCTTGGTGCTTTCCGGACCTCGGGGGTCGAGGTCGGGGTCGGCTGGTCCTTTAGTCCTTAGTTATTTCGCTGCCTGACGCTTTGTCCCGACCTTAGTGTATGTGTAGTCACCGGCATAATCATCCAAAGTGAGAAAAGCTCTCTAACATTCCATTTCGACCAGGCCATCATCCAAAGTGAGAAAAGCTCTCTAACACTCCATTCTTATCATCCTTATACGAGCTCAAACCAAGGTGGTCCAAAGAAGAAGCTTAAAGAAGGAAAAGGATAGGAAAAGTGTGAGGGATTAAAGAGCTTGACTGAGGTGTTCCTAGTTGTCGCCGGAGTTTCGTCGGAGTTTGCCGGAGTTTCGCCGGAGTTCAACCAAGAAAGGGTAGAACTTCTTAAATCTCATTCAAGGTGAGGATGACTGACTATATCGCTTATAATAAGTGAGTTAATTTCATAAGATTACCTAAGGTAATTAAATATGTTTTGTATGGATTATTAATGAATAATAATGCCTAAAATGAGAAGACTATGGTCTATAAAGGAAGGGAGCATGATATACATATATGGAATAAATTATGTATGTTCATGTGTTGTAGGAAAAATGACATGATAGTTGGATAACTATACGGCTTATTGATAAAATATACTTTTACTTCATATAAGGGTTATATGCATGTGAAAAGTGATATTTTGTATATTGAATAAATTATATTTTGATTGGAAAATCAGTTTGAATTAGCCATATGACTATGAATGGAGGACTTCAATGTTCTAAAATACATTCGACTTGTCACGCCCCGGACCTACCCGGACACGTCAACAACCCACCGTACAGTACGAATAGTTAACCGCAGTCCAACACATTCATACTATACAAGGCGTCTGTAATATCATTCACACATGATACATCCATAAACAAGCATAATGTAAAACATTCATTAAAGCAGCGGAAACGATGATTACAAGTGTTCAAGCCACACTTGGCAAACTTAGGCATGCAAGCCCTCAAATAATTATTCAGAAAAAGTAATATCCATGAGCATTTATATAATTGTTTTCAAAACAGAAACGGAGGAAGCACGAACCACGTCTTCTCTCCTAGATATCCCTGAAGCAACGGGCGTCGGTAGCAACCTTCAAGTCCTACATGAAACTGTGAGGTGGCCTCCCCCGTGAAGGGGAGGTTAGTACTTTGAAGCATTTGAAAAGTACAATGACAACTACGCTGAATATAATCAATGTTTCAATTTCTAAGACCCTCAAACTAGGGTGATATTATATTATAGGTCATAATCCCTGGATACTCTATTTAAAAATATACTTACTTTATATAAAGCCAAGTAGTCGGCCTGTGGGCCCATATTCATTTAGAATTCATCATTTTCATTTCTCGTGACCACAAACCACGTCAACCCCATAGGGTTCCATCGAGCCCCAATTGTATAGCAAGGGCTCGGCCCAACTACATTTCTATGCAATCCTTTAACTCAATTTAACACATCAAAATTGTATGGCAAGGGCTCGGCCCAATTACGTTTCCATACCAACCATAACTTCGTGGCAATGGCTCGGCCCAACTTCGTTTCCACGAAGATCACAAATACATGGCAAGGGCTTGGCCCAACCACGTTTCCATGCTAATCACATTTCCATGCAATCCTAGAGTCCGACTCTAATTTATTTTTATAGTCCAATTCTCAAGCAAATCCTATGCCTACAATCAATTCACTTGGGTAGCCTTTAGGCCTACCCTAACACACCTTAGTGTTCGTACAATTCGACCTTAAAGTATCTCTTAAGACTACTTAAGGTATCTCTATTTACAATCCTATCTCTTAGGATTAATTCCATCATTTATTTATATTAATCTCCCGACTAGTATTTCAATACTAGTCGGATAATCTTAGAACAACCAACTTCTTAATTCATAGTCAAATACTTCATCTCAATTGATTTTCCAATCCAAATATGATTTAATTTCAATATCAAAAATATCACTTTTATCCATTCATGAATTTCTTACATGAAGTAAAAGTATATTTTATCACAACATTTCATAGTTAATCCCATCATAATGACATCACTTTCATATCACATAATCATACACAATTTACTCTAAATTTGTATATCATGCTTCACTTACTCATATCAATAGTATTTTCATTTAGGCATTATTAATCATTAACAATCCATGAAAATCACATTTAATTACCTTAGGTAATCTTATGAAATTAACTCACTAATTATAAGCATTATAGTCAGACATCCTCACCTCGAATGAGCTT